AGGTCACCAAGGGTGATGACAGCGGTGCTACCGTCTCCCTGCAGGTTGAGTCCGCCAAGGGTGGCAAGGAGGAGACCCTCGACGCTGATGTTGTCCTGGTCGCCATTGGTCGCCGCCCCTACACCGAGGGCCTGAACCTCGAGAACGTCGGCATTGAGAAGGATGACCGTGGCCGTCTCGTCATTGACCAGGAGTACCGCACCAAGGTTCCCCACGTCCGTGTCGTCGGTGACTGCACTTTCGGCCCCATGCTCGCCCACAAGGCCGAGGAGGAGGCTGTCGCTGCCGTTGAGTACATCAAGAAGGGCTACGGCCACGTCAACTACGCTGCCATCCCCAGCGTTATGTACACCCACCCCGAGGTCGCCTGGGTTGGCCAGAACGAGGCCGAGATCAAGGCTTCCGGTGTCAAGTACAGCGTCGGTACCTTCCCCTTCAGCGCCAACTCCCGTGCCAAGACCAACCTCGACACTGAGGGTGTTGTCAAGTTCATCGCCGATGCCGAGACCGACCGCGTTCTCGGTGTCCACATCATCGGACCCGGTGCCGGTGAGATGATCGCTGAGGCTACCCTTGCCATTGAGTACGGTGCCTCCAGCGAGGACATTGCCCGCACATGTCACGCTCACCCTACCCTCTCCGAGGCCTTCAAGGAGGCTGCCATGGCCACCTACTCCAAGCCCATCCACTTCTAGACCTTGACCTGCCTTGACCCCGATATCCTCTACCCCTACCATGTACTACTTTTTTTGATTTAGACTAGCCAAGCTAGCAAACTACATGTAGCATTTCATGTAATCAATTTCCTCTGTGTTCTTGAAAGTAATCAAATGCTGTTGTAACTGTAATTTCCAGTATCTACCGGAGTAGCAAGTGTCCGTCCCTGGTCTTTGTACATTACATCTTGACTATAACTTTCTAGTACATGAACATCAACCGTTTCCAAGCCAGTTTCTCGGTTCCTGCTCGACATGACCTGGTCTTGTGTCTGTTTCACTATAAAAAAAAAGCCGTATCCACCCATATCTGCAGATGCATCCGATATGCGATCTCCTACTCTGGGGGCAAAAAAGAAAAGCAAAAAGGAAACTCCGATAGGGGGAATCGAACCCCCGGCTGTCGTGTGAGAGACGACGATGTTAGCCACTACACCATATCGGATCTTGGATGAAAAATGGAGCAGAGTTTGCCATTATAGATCCACTGACCCACTGTTCATATTCGCACTATAGGTCCGTATGGCTCCCCGTACATAAACTAACGCTAAGACCAATTAGGCGATCTACTAAAAACTTGAGAAACCCAAGTGTGATTTCGAATCTTGTATAGCTATCTAGGAATATCAGCTATAGTAGGCAAAAAGTAAATACATGTAGGTAGATATATACTTGAAGCAATAAGCAAAAAGACAAAAAGAGATGCTCTCATACGGGGATTCGAACCCCGGTCTGCACGGATCAATAGTATGATAACTATTTGAAAACGAGCGATGCTAAACCCCTACACCATATGAGACAATTTGATTGGACGGTTTGACCTGGTAAGAGTCTATAAACAGCGAGTAGATCGGAGCAAATACACATGACTCTACCTACATACGAAGATGGTCAAAGAAGGAGGAGGGGGAGGAATAAGAAAGAAACCTTCGCAGGCGACGCAGAAAAAAGAATATTGTCTAAGGTAGAAAAATTGCAAAAAAGAAAAAAAAAAAGAAGTGCTCTCATGCGGGGATTCGAACCCCGGTCTGCACGGATCAACGGTCAAGACCATTTGAAAACGAGCGATGCTAAACCCCTACACCACATGAGATGGTATGATGAAAGAAATCTCAGATTATGGCTCTATCAAGCACAGTACAAGGAGCAAACTAGTAACAACGAAGCCGAGGAAAAAGCGCTTTGACGCGTAACATCACTTCTTAGTAGAAAACAAAAAAATGTATCAGCAAGCAATGGAGAAAGAGGAACATTCGGTGATAGGAAAAATTAAAAGAAAAGCAAAAAAGAAGCTCTCATGCGGGGATTCGAACCCCGGTCTGCACGGATCAATAGTCAGACTATTTGAAAACGAGCGATGCTAAACCCCTACACCACATGAGAAGAACTTGTGGGTTTTACACAGCCTTGGGTAGATCATCCAATTTTTCCATTTGTTCCAAAGTCAGTTTCTGAAACATTCCAACGTTGACAACGTCCAATTCTGATCCTTGAACTATTTTTCTAGTCTATGCTAATTTCATTAGAAACCGCACATGTATTGGATTTCAACAATACTTGAATCGAACGATGCTCAGGTGTTTACCAGGACAGCATATATATATAATAAGCAGTTAGTATTGATAGGGTTGATATTTTTCAAGAATCTACACCAAAGGCTAGATACTGCAATAGAAAAAGTTGCAAAAGATTATACAAATTTCACTTCTATCTACCAAGGTGCCGCTTTCCAGCCTAGCAGGAAAAAGGGAAAGCTATTTGGAGATTTGACTTCTACTCTACGAGCATAACATGAAGGGAAACCAGGCACAGTACTTCCGCCCACGAGGTGCCCGACAAATAAGTCTGCTAGTACATGCAGTGCTCTCTATTGATATCAACTTACTGTACTTGGGCTCAGGAAGCAACGCCGACATCTTCAGCAAGGTCTCGATCACCTCGGTGCCCAAATCAGCTTGGAAATTGTATGCGCTCAGCTTGTGGTTCACAAATTTATTAACTGGCTTGCTAACATCCAAAAAAGTTCAAAACAACAGGAAGTAGAAAAATATCTCTGTAATCACAAGCATGGGTTTCAGACAGAGCTCCAATCCAGCTCACCAAAGGCCTCTTCAGTACCAACCATGGCTGGCCCAGTTTCCTTCAATAGATCCTGCAGCCTCACCATCACATCATCACCATGAACCGTGGACCAGCTCTTCTCAGGCCCCACAAGCTCCCAGAACTCCAGCATAAGACGCATCTCCTTGCCCCAGAGAGGCCAAAGCGTGTCGTAAGCATCCACCGATATCTCGAGAACCTCAACATCAAGGTTTGTGGTACCACTTGCTGTTTTGCCATTGGCAGCCTTCGCCCAAATATTATAATAATCCCTGAAATCGTAGAATCCGGTAGTCAAAAGAAGGTATCTGGCCGGAGTTGAGCTCAGAGCGTCTGCATTAGGAATTGTAAAGGGGTTCGTGAGGACGGTACGGACGGCAAGACCGACGTTTGACAAAGGACCGAGAGACGCGACTTGAGTTGTTGGTGCGACAGGAAGCATAATGATGTGCCTTCCCACAGGTTTCTTTAAGGATAAATTGTCAGTGGTATGGCGAGAGATAAAAGATCCAGTTTAGCACTCACAGCATCAATTGGCGTGAACATTGGGAAGAACAGATTGCTCGCATAGAAAGTGATCCAAAGGAAGACCGTCTTGCTAAGCAGTGCTTTGTCCGCCTTGATGAATTCATCAACCCGAGCTTTAGCGGCAAAATGAGGCACGGCAACTTGGCCTTTCGACAGCGCCATGGCATCGGGAAGGGTGCTCCAGATGTAGTGCTCCAAAGTGGATGTTTTTGAAGCAGCACGAGCCAGGTTGAGACCTTGCTGGTACTCGATCTCGACGGCTTTTTCGGGCCCTTCCGTTACAAATGGTTCGAAGAAGTTCGTTATGGCGTAAATGGCGTGCGCACCCCTGAAGGCTTCAATCAGACTCTTCTCGTCATTCAAATCCGCTGCAACAACCTCAACTCCTTGAGCAGCGAGGGCTTGAGCACCCTTGCTGTTTCTATTGCGGGTCAAGCCGCGAATTTTGAAGATGGGGTCTTGCAGAAGGGCGCTGATGACTGCACCTCCCTGGGAACCGGTTGCGCCAACGACGACGACGAGCTTAGACATATTTGGGATTCTTGAAGTTGGAATGGTGACTGTAAAGCATAGTCGTAGAGAATGTGAAAATGATGGGTCTCCCGACGGCTTTTATGTCGAGGACTCTTTGTACCATGCTCCATCAGCCATAGTCATCCATTGAGAGTAGCCAGAAAAGCCATGACTCATGACTCCTGGAGGGCCATGATTCTCCCTCCAAGTGAACCAGTCGGGAACAGCGGACATGATCATACTTCCAAATTCAGTACGTAGATTGGTAATGAACGGTCGGTAACTTAATGCGGAATTCAATTTGAATATCCGAGACAGATTAGGGACTGTAATTGTAATTTGTCCGTGCCGGAGACTTACTACAGCAGAAACGCCACATGTTTGTAATGATCAGATGAGTGAGCACGGCACATCTAGGGTGGTGACCTCATGTGTGGCTTAGGATACGAGACTCGAACGCCAAGCCCAACATACCTCCATATTGGGTTAGCATGTATGATGTAATTTATCCTGACATCTCATTAGCGTTACCAGATGGTAAGAACCATTGGTAAGTGCCCTACTTCTGCTATATCGGGAAATATGTCTATCAAATTCAACATCAAGCGACGTGGGTCTTACCACTCCTATACATCCTGAACTCTTCAAACTCAACTTCAACTTCCTCGGGCCCCCTCGCACATTAAACAATCTTTTTTCTGCGAATTTTTAGAAAGTCAACCAAGATCTAAAGCCGAGTACGAGGAGAGGCGCATCTAGACCAGAGTGGTCATTACCAAAACTTTATGCATAAATACCCTCACTCATGTCTGGGTGAAATGCTGCACAGCAATTTCGAAGGTTCATCTTTCTATCTATTTTATCATTTGACGATTTTGTCGACTATATGAGAGACCATAAATTATGGCTTATTTAGCTATACCATCCAGGGTCATCCTTGCCAATTTACCCCGCTTCATGAACCTCATAGCCAGCATAAATAGGAGGGTAAGCAGGAGGAGGGAAGGACGGACAACACTTGAGTATCACTAAGCTTACTGGATCTCATACAGTTTGACTTCCATTAGTCGTATATTGCATTACCAAAGCCCCTTCCGTAACCGACCTTTTTTTGCTATGGCCCTCAAGCCCGAATCCACCATAATGCGGGATCCAGTGCTAGTAACAGGCGCATCTGGATACCTAGCGTCCCATGTCATAGATGCACTTCTTTCCCACGGCTACAATGTCCGAGGTACCGTGCGGTCAGAAGCAGCATCAAAGAGAGTGAAGAGTCTCCATTCTAAGTATGCCGATCGCGTATCCACGATACTTGTTCCTGATATGAGTACGCCGACCGCATTTGACGAAGCCGTTAAAGGTGCTTCAGGTGTTAGCCACGCCGCAAGCACGTTGGTTTTTGCCGTGGAAAACAACGAGCGTGACCTTATCCAGCCCGCTATTTTTCGCACGTTGAACGTTCTCGAAACCGTTGCAAAACATAACGCTTCCATCCGCCACGTTGTTAATGTCCGAGCCTTACGTGCCTACGCACTTGCGCTTCGTTCCGGCCGATGAAGAAGAATATTTCCCCGAGGTGGGAAGGTTTCAGCAGCTCTCCTTTGGAAGAGGAGGTTGCGGTGCGCGCTGGTGGACCTGGACTGCATTTGGGGCTCCCAATCCCAGCGCTGTATCTTCCGGTTGGTGCAGCATCCGGATCATCAATGCGTGTTGCCGATGGAGCGCAAGAAGTGTCTCCATTGGGTATTATATACCAGGCCACAATACTTACTGTTCCATTCCATTCACGAAGATTCCAAGGTTCGCCTTGAGATTAATTTCCAATCGAGTTTGACCAGTCGTGCTCTTTGTGCTTTCACTCTTGTATTTAATTTAGGCAACGGGCCGTAAGTTCTGGCATCGCTTGGCTACAGTTTTATTTCAATAGCTGGTACGACCCAATACATGGCCCACTAGGATGGACAGTCTCACTGACCGATGTATGAATGGAAATGAAGCTAAAATTATAAATTACATGACCAAGTTGCATTTCATAGAAAGAAGGTTCAAACAACTTAAATGCTCGGATAATTCCTAGTATCCAGATTAGCAAGACCTTGGTGCCAGTCCAATATCTGTTTAAGTCTCCTAGAAAGATATTGTTGAAAAAAGAATGGGTCTCTCTGTATCGCCCTCTGGTGGAAGTTCTATGTCACTCCCAGCCGCATCCTATACAGAAATTATTAATAAAAATGTTAATCTTGAGCGGTTGTCATGGGCGGAGTCCCGGGATGAGACTAAATCTTGTAAAAGGAGTAAGGCCGGATGATCTAGAACTTGGTGGAGAGCCTAGACTGATGTTCACAGCTCCTATGGGGCTCAAATGGCTGTAATTACTCCCTAAGTAAGTATTCTAGTTAAAGCATACGAGACTTATCGTCGCTAATATTCTACAAGTATTTCAGCCGTCACGATCTCCGGAAGGGCACGAGGGAGAGAAGCAACCTTGGAAAGTATAGTACAAAATAGGTAAGAATACCTCTCCATATTAGCCACGTGAGCCTGGGTTTCTCCAGGGCCCGCCCGTACGATTCCCTTTCTGGTATGTCAACAAGGTTATGGCGGCCACAGCGATCACTGGAATTCCTCCATTGAAAAATCCCTCGAGGCCATTCGGAACGTACATAGCGAGAGGCTAATAGCCTCACGCATTATAAGCAAGCATTGACATAACTCCGTCATAAGCCTTGATTGGTGCTAATCGTGAACTCCGTCCATTCACTCTTCTGGTTGATGCGTAGGAAGGTGAACTTGTAACTATCTGTTGCCACACCGTACACGGTAGTACTGCGGCACGGTCGGCTTGCCTTCCATTCCTGATGACCGGTAGCTTTTAGAGATTAGACAGTCAGAAAGGTATATATATTCGAGAAACATACCCATGTAACCTAGGCATTGGGCTATTATTGTCTCAGAAAAGCCCTTCTTTGCCTCCACGATTATCAGATTGATGGCCTTTGAGATGGACTGATCCCCGTACCAGAGGGTATAGTCACAGATGCCATGCGTCTGGTGTTCTGCCACGAAAACGGAAAGGCCTCGAAACGAGGGGCTCTCAGTTTGGAGGTTGAGCTAGTTGGAGGGCAAGGGACATTTGACCACCACAACCACCTGGGTACATTAGTGGTCTAATTTATACCGGAAAGTATACCATTTTATGCATATTTTCGCTCTATTTCAACCTTTTCTTTTTCACCTCTTTTTTCACCACTTTTTTGCCCTTTTTCGAGTGGCTTAGGTTGTAGTTATTAAAAACTGGTGGATTAACCATATAAAGCGTGAAAGGATGTAAAATGGCGGATTCAATCCCTTGTTCTGTCGTAGTGGCCATGTGCGGTTTTCATTCGCTCAGAAGCAGCATGCATGAATTCAAGTTTAGCTGCGTCCTTTTTGAATTCATGCAGCATATAAGAATATAAACGCGATGAGACCGGCCCTTAAATACCGCCATTAGTTATTCGAAAGTTCGATCCTCAACAAGGACGAAAATAATTTCCCCTCCACCAGCGATAATATTTGACTACTCGAGTTGGGAAATAAGATACAAAGGCTTTGTGCCCGAGGTGTTTAAGGGCTAAACGCGGGAACATCCGGCAAGGCTTATCCAGCCATTGTTTACCGCTTTTTTGCCGACCGTCACCGGCAACCCGGTTTCTGGCTTTGGAGAGTTCCAGGTTGACACTCTCTACTTCTTACACGATGGATCGCTACGTGGTTGCTCCCTTTTGGGGACCCCAAACCTCTTACCTGAAGTATGTTAGAATCCTCCGTCAAGTCCTGCGATACTAACTCATTTTAGTTTCTGCGAAGAGGTACATCCCTGGTACACTTCAACCTTCTAGAAAGGTCCACTGATTTGCCTAAAAGGATTATGTAGTGACACGATTCGTCGCGGAGTTCATAAACACACTCAGTAGCTTCGTGTTTAGTGAGTACACTAAGTTCAAACATGCCAAGCTCAATTAACAATTTCGTCTAGTAATTTACGGTATCTACGGCCTCAGAAAGCTCGCCCAAAAGCAGCAGTCTGGTGGCCTTCGATCAATCTCATACTATGGATTGATTGGAGTTGGCGTCTGCTCAGGAGGCTATCATATGACTCTCAAATATCACACACAGATGTGTTGGTGTTCCCCGGTTCCCGTCATCTTCATTCACCATTAGCACCCTCTAACTCTACGACTCAAGCGGATGAACTGTCGATGCACCTTCTCACCACACCTCTCCTGTATCGCATTCTTACTTTCAAGGCTAGTCCACAACGGACTAGGATAGTCGGACTTATCCTTCTTACCCTTTTCACTTTGGTGATGGTGATCCATATCGTCATGGACGAATTCATCCTTCACGCTGTGAGTTTCGGGATCGCAGTATACCTGATCGCGACCGAAAGCTTGAAAATTATCGCTCAACAAGTACCAGATCTTTTGATCAGGAAAAAGATCCGCAACATCGCATTCTTTGGTTCTTGTATGTTGCGCCTCCTAAGACATTCCCCGTCCGCCTAGATGGGAAGACTACAGAATCACTGACAACTCTAGTCTCTTTCGCTTTTGGTTATATTGTGTGGCTAATTGACGATTGGGCCTGTGGAATATTGACCGAAACTCGACACTTAGTTGGGCTGCCCCTGGCATTCTTCACTGAGCTTCACGGCTGGTACGTTCTCCAGCATTTGGTTATATATCCGATAGACCCGTATCGCTAATTACGAGAAACAGGTGGCACATCTTCACTGCCATTGGCGGCTACGTCGCGGTCGCAATTGTGGACCTAGTTACGGCTGGTAAAGTGCACGATGATCCCACAAACGATCTTGCTTGGCCCATTGGTCCAGCAACACGAGCTCTAGAATCTCTGAAATCATCCAAGAAGCAGGGCTAAATGGTTCCATTGGAAACGGTTCGAGATCTTTCTGCCAATCATCCCGTGAGGAGTTCATTCTTGGACGAATTGCTTGGTGTTAGGTTTGATACCTGATCTATGTGTATCTAATAACTCAAATTCGGGGACAGTAGTCGGAGCGTCTGTTAGTTGATACCTTCAACATAAATATCGATATATCGTTGGAAATATCGGTCGCGTGTAGATCACGAGGTTGGTTTTTTTTTGGCAATAAGACATTCATGTCTGGAGACTCTGGCATCTGGTATGTGCATTGACTAGCGCACCCTGCTGGGCGCTTAAGCAGAGCCCATGAGGTAAAACTCAACATTATTGGATGCCTGGTGCCACCTGAAACAACAGATCCCTTGGCACATGCAGGCGGGCTGCAATGCAGAAAGCGCGGCGCTTACACACTTCACGATTTACCTTCGTGTTTTATAGGCACACAAGAAGCGATATTTGCTCTTTATATTATTAGCGGTGTTTCCATTGTTGGTAGGTGTGCCGCCCGATAATATGGCTCCCTGTTGAATCCTCCTAGTTGGTAGATCTACTGTAGACTAGACGTTATGATCCCAACCTATTTATATGTCACAGGATGGGGCAGTAGTAGTCAATATGCAAGCGGCATTGTTTGTAAGGAAGGCTTGGTAATTGACAGTACATGGCTCATTTAGGGGCTAAATATATACAGACTAAGTGTGTTCCAGCTGATCTGCCCAACATTTTGTTTCGTTCTAGCATCTCAACTCCCCAGATTCTTGCTTCCCAACCATGCTCGTCGAAAACCAGCATTCTTTCGCCCGAGCAACAACAGCGGACGAGGATCATTCCCCGGAGCAAAGAAAACAAAGATGCTGTGGCGAACGCCTTTTATTCAGTCTCCAACTTATCTTACTTCTGATGCCTTTGACACTCAGTATTCTGCTTCTATACGGCGATGTCGATAGCTGGATCTTGCCGGGGAATCTTTATAACATAGTCAACAAATGGCGCTCCTCTGTTCAAACAGCGGTTCAAGTCATCTCTGCTGCCCTGGCAGCTATCGAGGTCTTTGCGCTCTGTCGCCTGATTAATCTGGCAACCCGAATTTCCTTCACAAGAGCCCCAGTCTCACTAAATAAACTTGGATTCTGGTCGGCGCTTTCGACCCCGACAGTAAACTGGAGCCATCCGATCTGGACGATCGTTGTCACTCTCTGCCTCAGCAATCTACATACCGCTTTCTCTGCCATATGGGCTGGTGCTCTCACCCCAGTGAACACCTTGAGCACCCAGAATACGACAATTCAAATTCCTGACTGGTCCAACATTACACTTATCAAGGAATACCCTAGCCAGATCGACTCATCGGGCCCGTCTGTTCGGAACACTAAAGGTTACTTCACCTACTCGGTTGGCATGGGCCTCCTAGGATCTCTTCTTGCGTCAGCCAACTCAGCCTCAACTGTTGATGGCAGCATTCGCAACCACAATAAGCTCGACAATACACGCTACAACTATCATGGCCGGTCATATGGAGCAGGTGCAAGCGCCGGTCTCAATGATCAGTCTGTTCTCAATATCCCCCACGCAGTCAACTATACGTATAGTGAGGTGGCCCTCGCATCCTCTGTCTCCTGCATCCACAATATTAGCTCAGATTTTGCCCTAAGATCGCAGAGCGCCGACAATTCCTATCCCGTCGTGGGATATCTCCCAGACAGTACCAGCCGCGAGTATTCCACCTACATAGGCTATGGCACCAGCGCAATTGTCGCGATTGGCGTGGCGGCTCAACCTATCACATGGGCAACTCCAACCAGATATATGGCTATAGCAGCGGGTGACGCCTATGAACATTTAGATCAAGTCCAATGCGCTGTGAGCTTTACCCCAACCCGCTTCAATGTCTCTGTCGACGTGAGCAACCGCAACATCACTATCCACAAACTCTCGGTTTCCGAGTCTGGAAAAGTCTCCAACATTGACCCCAACGGCAATATGACCCACGTGTTAATGCGTCAATTGGAGCTCATTTCCAATGACCAGACCAGTTTCTACCGCTCCACTGTTGGTGATGCATTTAACGCTAGTATTAGCGACTATCGGACCTCTATCACAAACAACGCGACCACTAATGGAACGATGTCGGATTCACAGATTGTTTTAAAAGGCGTCGAAAATGCGATAGTGTCCTATATCGATGACATACTAGTTGCCTATGCGTCGGCCCAGCTGCAGGTGAGCGGATTTACAATTTCCGCGCCGACTGTGGTACACGTCGAGGCTCTCCGTGTCGGATCACGGGACTATATCATTGCAAGTGCCAGTATTACCGTTATGATTATACTTCTGGTGATCGCTGAAGCGATCCGGATGCGAGGATGGAAGGCGCTCCCAGTCTTTGATTATCTGGATACTCGAATGCTAGTGGTTGGTGCGTCGAGAGGGGGCCATGAGATTGCTGAATATGCAGAACGTGAGGGAGATAAGAATTTAGGCCGTGTTCCAATTATGTGGAGTGGAGAGGCGCTCGATGCTGTTGGATTGATTTCTGTCCGAATTCCACAGGAAGAAGACAAAAACCTCGTGCCCAACGATCAATCAAATCTCCAACTTCAGTGGATCTGAAACAAATGTTATATATATACGCTCTTGAATGTACTCCGTATATCAAGATCATTATGTGCAAACAGATATACATGAGGTTTTGTTCTTCTACTTCCACCAATATCGCTGTCTCTACGTAGCAACGCGTGAATGCTATTAATATCCCGGTTTTTAGACACATATGGAATCAGTCAAATAGGACCCGATCGGCTGATGTTAAAAGTGTAGGTTAGTATCCTTACCTCCACTCCGTTCTTGAGAGTTCTCACCTCAGAGTACTACTTCAATGCGCGCAACTGGCCCTCCAACTTTAACGAAATCTGATTTAGTGTCGCCCAACGCGATAAATAAACCAGTACGGGCTGCCAAAACAAACACGGCTCAATAAATCAACATGTCTAATAGGTGGTAGCCTGAGGGCGGATAGAAAGACCATGGGGGCACCTTATAGTTCTTTAATATATGGTAGGCTTTTCAAGTTGATATCGCCGATCCTTCTCACCCACTCCCGGACCCAAGCCAGAAGCTGCTCATGCCTCGTGGCCGAGATCATCTACTCTTACAGCTCTTCACGAGCCATAAACGATGACATGAACCGTTTCGCTCGTTAAAGAAATACCTGACATTCAGCACTGAATATCTCATGGTCCGCATGGCCTAATCAAAGCCCATAACCTTGGAAGACGGTAAGCAATATTTGGCAAAAGCCACGATCGTTTTGAAAGAGACAAGATACAGTCATAAGCCCCCAACTTTATAAAATACTATTTTCAAAGAACTACAACCCGAGGCACTCGAAAATGGGCAAAAACAATAACTGAACGGTATACTTGCTTCGAAGCTTTCGTGTAACTGTCCAATACGTCATCAGCGGCATACACATTTATAACCCCTGTTGTACGGTACAATCTTGATCACTCCACCAGCTAAATGCCATATATCGACCCTTCACCTTTTATCCGACTATTATTTTCGTTGCGGCGTGATATAGAAAATGGGCTTTCAGGGCGAATTTGGGATTTTCAGCCTAGAGCGCAGCTGCAATGGCGTTGTATGCATCTTTTGGGTTGTAGTTGTTATCAAAGAGCAGAGGAGTAGAGTCGGCACGCCAAGAGTCCTAAAGCAAATGGGCGTCAGTATGTACTTATTTGAAATGTAATTCCAAGGGTCGTTTACGGGATCTGCAACACCCCAAACTGTGACCCCGACACACTTGGGTTGATTCAGACAGGCAGTGACAGCCTGCAGGAAAGTTTAATTAGCACATTTCTAACCAATCTTTGGCAAAACTTACATTAACATAGTCGGTAGAACTGGCACCACCAATATCAAGCTCAGTGATAGCGACCTCTTCAGTTCCAGCACTGGCCAACACATCGAGAGCTGTTTAGGGCTGTAAGCCAGAGGTTCGCTCTACCACCAACCAAGGGGTACTTATCCAGAGACTGCAGCACCACCACCAGCACTCAAATGAGTTTGAGATCCTTCGGGTAAAGTCAGCAGGCATGTGAGACACATCAACGTGGCAATGCACCTACCAATTCCATCGATCGGGATGCCGGCAGCTATCCAACCCTTGACATGGCTCGCCATGCCGGTCGTTTTGGCATATGAGGCAGTGTCGAGGCTAGTTGTAGTCAGCCTTTCTTGTTACCAGGACCCTAAGGGGTGCCCAGGCGCTCACTTGTAATCATTGATATACAGTTTGGCACTTGGGTCTGCAGCGCGAGCCGTCTCGAAAGCGATCCGCACGTAGTCCTCGCCAATGACGTTGTAGAAAACGCTTTGTCGCAAGGTACCATCCTCGTTGAAAATTTCATTGAGAACATCCTGATGTTGGTTAGCAGAATGAAAATTCATGTATGTGTTGGGTTGTAATCTAACAACTCACCCAAGCGTAAATTTTACCCCGGTACCGAGTCATCAAAGTTGTGATGTGGTTCTTCATCACATCAATCAGAGTGGTTTTGTCAGTGATGGAAGAGACCCAAGTGGGCAGTTGGGAGTGCCACACTTGAACAGAGACGGTCAGTTCCTTGAACTTAATGGAAGTTTGAGAAACATACCAAGAGTGTGACCTCGGATCAATTTGTCATTTGACGAGGCAAAGTCAACCTGAAGTGTGTGAGAATCTAAATTCAAAAGCACCAGATGTGAAGAATGGGGTTGGAATACCAAATAGTCCGCCCCTGTGAATGAGAACTGTCCCTGAGAAGCTGAATTGTAACTGAGCTTTCAATGTCTCAGTTTCGCGAATAGCTCACTTACGCTCAGTAGCATCCCACTTCATGCTGTTTTCAGGAGTCAATTGACCAAAGTCCGCCTTGATAATGGCTGGGTTCTTGTCATTTTTGGCCAAGGTTCCTTGGTCACCGATGTTGCCGAAGTATTTCTTCCCATGGGCCTTGAACTTGTCGTTGATACTAACAGAGGCTTGGCGGGACCCAATAGCTCCAGCAGATGCATGACCCGCTAAAATGATACCCACGGCAATGGCCTTGAGATGAACCATCTTGCAAAATAGTTATTTTCAGTTTCTTCCGATATTTTGAAATGGGGAAAAATAGAAGAACGACATTCAAGGTTGGAAAGAGCAGTGAATAACCAGAAGGAAAGGTTCGATATCTCTTATAATAAAGCCAAGAAACTCGCTGTTTCTAAGACAAGCCGTGAATTGCGGACGGGTGAAGCATTTACTTGCTGGCCTTTCCCGCGTAGAAAGTGCTGATTTATCCCGAACCCTGGTATCTTGGCACCAAGCGCTGTCATTCGTACATAATGGATATTTCCTAACTTCATTACTCCAAAGGAAGCATCGGTATTAGCCCTAGATTTTGCTTGGCGTCTCAAACTAAGTGGCTTCGAGGCAAATAGGACCCTATCCTCCGTCGCATTAATACCATTGATATCCGAGGCTTGGCGTGTACGGGTACCTTGTTTTAACTTGTTTCACCACATGAAAAGAGACCATGTGCGTAGCGACTCGACTGACACCACTGTATCCCCTGTCAATGCGCTGACGCGGGGAACCCTTCATACCCACTTTGGTAGCTTGGTGAGTTTATAGCCCTGCATGATATTAGTTCCGTAAAGCAAAACCAAACTCTAGTGAATAATTCGCTGAGGGATTATGCCTCGGAATCATTCCTGTTCCAGACTGAAACCATCCCCACCTAGAGAGTAGCGCATATAGTAGAAGCACCGACAGAGCTGTACATGCATTTAGGCAAATGTTCACTTTTAAGTTCAGACACGATACTAGTCTTTTTGTCACGGCCCTCAGGTCTCTTCAGAGTTTGGGAGGAGGCGATATATGCTCTTCCTGTTGTGATGCGTGTCTTATCGCCTATGATTCCGTTATTAGCGCTAGGCAAAGGGCGCCTAGCTAAGAAGCTGCCTGTTTCACTGAGGTACCATGATTCTTCTTCTCCTGCTTCATTCCTCTCAACAACAAAAGGCTGAATGAACGTAGGTTGTATGCAATGTAACTCTGTTTCGAAGCTTGTTTAGTTTCTTAGATAGACTAAAAGTGACCCTAGAAACCTTGAAGGCCATAGACGTAGGTCCGCGCTCCTTTCGATCATCTTGGGACTTAGAATTCCTTACTCTCATTTCCCAACACATCACGCGCAAGGACCGGGCGTTTGTTTGAGTTATCACACAACATTCTGAGCAGATTTGCGAACGTGTCCTCTGCTGTAATGTTGTTACGTTTAAATTCTGATATTACTCGTTTTGGTCGGCATTCTGCTGATCTCCGCAACGTCTCTCGCTTCTATCTCGGTACCTACATACAGGGCAAGATATTAATTAGTTTGACACCATACGAGAGAATCATCCTCTCCACCAGATCAACCGGACCGAGAAATCTTCGACTCCCCATTCGGGAGGATCTGCGAATTAATTACTCAGAATAATGCGGGGGAGTTCCGGGATCAAGTCTAGGTACGTGTCGCATTAAGGAGTACAATAGCCTGAAGCGGACCGACCATCTATGCTAAGACATTCTTGCCGGCCCGCGCCGAAACGTCAATGGTTTCAGGCTAATTTTGGTGTTGCTATAACTTCCCGGCTAAACTTGACACATGGTCCTGTACAGTCGATTGAAACTTCAACCCTTTTTGGATCTTAGGCAAGACTCTGTCTTCGGACCAGGGGAAGACGCTACTCTTACCCTGATTATAGCTCCGTGCGGAAACAAGGAACGGTGTTTACTTCCTGGACCCGACGCTACTTTAAAATGATCCGCTGAGCTCTTTGGACATCGCATTCATTTCACCGCAGACCATCATCACGATAACACATTGCATTGTCTGACTTTCGTATCATAAAAATGCTTTTCAATCTTGTCGCACTCTCCCTCCTCCTCAGCAGCAGCCTCGCTGTTCCACTTGAAGTCGACCTTGAAAAGCGTAGCTGCCCTGGCGTTCATGTCTTCGGTGCTCGCGAGACCAGTGTGTCTCCTGGCTATGGTTCATCTATCACAGTTGTCAATGGTATCATGAGTGCCTATTCAGGTTCCACCTCCGAGGCAATCAGCTACCCTGCATGTGGTGGACAATCCTCCTGCGGAGGCGTGAGCTATTCCAGCTCAGTTGCTCAAGGAATTAAAGCTGTGGCTTCGGCTGTGAATGCGTACAACTCACAGTGTCCCCAGACAAAGCTCGTTCTAGTTGGATACTCCCAGGTGAGTGACGAGGGTTGTCATTCAAACTGCAATTGAAATGTTCTGACATGGCTTGATTTCTGCTATAGGGTGGTGAAATCATGGACGCGGCTTTGTGCGGCGGCGGTGTCCCTAACCAGGGCTACACGAACACTGCCATCCCGTTGTCGTCGTCCGCTGTGAACATGATCAAGGCAGCAATCTTTATGGGCGACCCGCTGTTCAAGGCCGGTTTATCCTACGATGTCGGAACATGCGCTGCAGGCGGTGTAAGTCTTTTGTCCCCTACCTCCACATTCTTAAAGACCGGAGCTGATGATTAAATTTAGTTCGACGCACGCCCCGCTGGCTTCTCATGCCCGTCGGCTAGTAAGATCAAGTCGTACTGTGATGCTGCCGATCCGTACTGCTGCAACGGCAGTAACGCCGCAACCCACCAGGGCTATGGAGCCGAGTACGGATCGCAGGCCATAGCCTTTGTCAAATCAAAGTTATCCTAGGGTGTATTGGAACACCACCGGATATATCATTTTCGAAACTGGCTCGTCATCGTTTTGTGTCGCCAATGCAGTTCCTGATAAATTGAAATATCATGTCATTAGCCCGAAGGTCTGAGAACTACAAGATGTCGCCCAAGTTGGAAGTAAGACACAATAATCAAGGTCTTGTTGAGACCCCTAGTCATCAAATACCTACAGAGCCTATTAAATCCCAAGAGGTAGAATACCGCCCGTGAACATCTCTGCCTTACTTTTACAACTGGAAGATGGACAAAAGAGAGCACAAAATTTGGAACCAACAGTAAAGAAAAACAATGCATGAACAATGGACAGTCCAAATACTGCACTGAGTGACACTGTCAGTGACTGTCTACACATTTGTGACCCTCACTGTAATGATAAGCTAGTCTTCTTCGGGGTTCGTGGTCTTTGTTTGGACCCCTGGGCACTCAAAAAGGTTAGAAGACCTGACAAGGTGAAATCAATCATCTTCTTCTTTCCCAGCCTTCGTTTGTGCGACAAAAAGTTGTAGACACTGTTTTATCTCCAGAGCCCTTGCTCTGCAAAAGGGACAATAATGGAATGTGTATTGGATCTTCCCGCTGAGCTCATTTTAGCCATCGTTTATTATCTTCAAATGGTCACACGGCAGATATGACTACCATTCTATGAACTTGGAGATGCCTACCACCAGGAGATCAACCATAATCCTTCAAGATGAGTCCGATACCCTTCTTTTCTCTCTTAATCGCCGTACCTCAACAACATAGATTCTTGCGGCCAATATTTTATCGTGATTAACCAGGAGATCCGCTGCAACAGCTAAAGTCGAGTTTTGAGAAAAATCCGGGTCTCCAAAAGCAGATCACCTCGGCGATTATTCTATGTGTAAAATCTATGCATGACAGCTCTATCTACAATATCTTCCACCTTTTTTAGTTAGTCAAAGTCCAAATCCTGACGATTCATCAGTTCGAGGGGTGGGAGCCTCTGGGATTCGAAAAGACTTGCATGTTGCCACTTCACCCGTGCATTGTTAATACTCATCAATTGCAGGAGCACGAGCAGGCTTTAGCAGCTGTATTGAGTTAGCCAGCGGCTTTAGTTCAGACGATGAATTAGGAAGGAAGCCGTATATTGCACTATAGCTATGCTGTTTCTCGAAAACAATTAAACTATAACCTGGTTGTCCTTCTCCACGGCTTCAAGGAGATCGTGGACTTTGCGGAAGTGAATTCCTTGGAAAAACCTCTCTCTCTGGTCCTGGACCGTGGCATCATCGAAGCAAGCTGCTCCCGTGACAGAGAAGAGTTGGTATTCAGCGAAGATAGCGTCATCTCCTTCCGTCATTGCCTCCTGCTCTATTTTCGCTACATCTTTATAGGATATAGAAAGAGCAGGATACTTCTTGGTGAAAGTGCGGCTAACGTTCTCCCAGCATGTCTTCTCTCCGGTGATGTAGGTGTATTTGTCCCACTTCGCGCTTTCCAACAAAGAGACAAGACTCTTTGCTACATCCCGGGCACATGTGACATTGACCGGCTCTCTTCCAGTACCAGGTATGAGCATTGTTTGATTGGCGACGTCAATCGGGAACGCAGGTCCAATGTCCTTGAGATACCGATTCTTTGCCGGGACGACGTAATCGACCAACCAGCCCACAGAAACCAAAGTCCATTCCAACTCGGTTTGCTCACGAAGAATTTTCCGTACAGGTTCGCGTGTGCGGAAGTAGAACTCGGGCTGCTCAGGGTGTGTTTCAAGGTTGCCACCAAACTCGGAGGGAATAAACCGTTTGCAGAAGCGGCTCCGCTTGCACGCCTCGATCAGGGCAAGGTGTACATGCACAAACCCCTCTGAATAGTCGAGGATCGTGGAGATCATGGCTTCGCAGTCCGAGATCGCATTGGCAATTGATTCAACCGAATAGTCAATCACCACCTGCGTCACCTTTGGCAGACCATTGAATCGAGGTTTCAGGCTGCGAGATAACACTACCACATCGTGGCCCTTTGCGGTGAACTCTTCGACGAGATAACAGGCCAGGTCACCCGATCCCGCAATTGCTAGGCGCATGTTGGCAAATTGACTTTGGGTTGCACGATGAATATGATTTCGAGATGGGCGAGCAACACCGGAACTAACGGACCGAGTACTTCGTGAAGAAAAGAAAAGATAAAGAGGAGCAAGTGGACAGAAAGGAAATATAAGTGACTCTTAGCAAGGTGACAGAACAAAGATGCGCTTACAAAAGAAATCAAAATATTGGAAGAGGGCCCAGCAGGTTTTATAGTAATCGATAGAAATATACTGAGGTGGAGAAATATGGTCGACCATAGCCGAAATAGGCAACCCGCCGTGAATATTGTGCCTGGATGGTCATATTCTCAACTTTACCACAGAAATTTGATCCAAAGACTGATTAGCAAGCTTCGTATAGAATTATTAATACTTACACACTCGTATTATGAAGCAAAGTGTCAATTGTCAGGAATCGATCTAGAAAGCGGGGAATGGTTGGTCATCCCATGGAGTCCGCGGGCCCCGACAGAACAGTGCCAAGAACGGACACCGTAACTGCGATGAAAAGGCCTATCCCACCCAACACTGATAGTTACTCTCACTTTTACGGTAGTGTAAATGTCCTGGCCTCGCATCTCAAACCACTTTTCGACTGGGTCCCAAACGTACAGGGCCTGTTTCATCAAACGGCCATCAAGAGAGCCCTTATAGAGGCCCTTAATGATATCCTGCACCTGTGGGCACCGGTCCAGAACATGTTCATATAGACTCCCAATTTCCGACCTGGACATCCAGTTTTCAGAATCCCAGGAATCCAGCGACTCAGACATAAACCAAACCAGGTCAGTCTGAGTAGCCGGGTTGCCGATAGGCAGACACAGAAGGTGACGCTTCGGGCCGCGGAACTTCATCAGGTTGCAAAACAGATTCACAGTATCCTCAGGCAAATCCGTGTACTCGACGAAGCCCCGGTAGACGACCCGACCGGACTAATTTGGCGAGTCAACTAAGCCTAGTTCGGGTCGGACCCCGGACTTGATACCATCGCATCCAATAATGATATCAGCGCTATGTAGCGCCGTCCTCAAAATGCAGAGTGTATGGCGTGACGTCTGGGCTAGTGTTGCGTTGCGGTAGATGAGAGCAAGATGCTTTTGTAAATGCAGGTATTTCTTCGCGACGGGTTCTTGGATTGAATGCTGGAGATGAGCGCGGTGGATCAGCCGTGTGCGCGGCTGCGAGGACTCTTCAATATGTCCGACCTGCTCGCCAGTGGTAGTATTGCATGTAGTACGGCATATGAGGCAAAGAGCGGCGTAGCAAGGACTCTTTGAGGCCGAAGGCATCGAGGATGTGGGTGCAGCATGTTTTGTCATTGCACGCGAGGCCCCTGGTTTATCCTTGCTTACCTTTGCTAGGGGATCCCCATTTTTAGACAGGCAGCGCAATATGCTTCCGCCGCAATCACTAATAACGAAATATCGGATCTGACCCGGACGTTCTCCCTCTCGCGCCTTTTAGTCGTTTCTTTTCCAAGCCACACCTTCCCCTCCGCCTGCCTGGCTTTTTGGTTCCTCGCCTGTATCGGAAGCCGCGCACGTTATGCTTGCTTTGTTTTGTCGCGTCACACACAAAATGTACTCTAGTTAAACACCTGCGTGCCTGGTTAGACCCCCGAACACGTTTCGAGTCCAAGTGACATCACCGGAGTGAATACCAACTCCCCGGGCCGGCCCGCTCGATACCACGGAAAGCGGATTTTGTAATGACAACCTCCATTCACTCGACTTGTGAAAGATTTGCCCAAGGACGTCTTTTTTTAGGCTAGTGGACATTCTAATCCAATATGGTCGTCTACCGCGGACTGGCTGAGGTTGTCACGGCGTCTTCGCCCAGGAATACCTGTTACACGTCAGAAGGGTTTGTTGAAACCTGCAGAGTCATCATATTCGAGTCGTCGTACACACACAAAACAAAACTGTGTGTATAATACATTACTGTTCGAAAACCAGTTGTTTCTTGCAGAAGCATACCGGAGCTGGGTTGAGTTCCGATATTGGTGGCCGGCCATTCGTGAGGTCCGTAGGAAACCGGCTATCAAACCCCTCTTCACCCTGTTCGGATGCGTACCCGTGCCCCTTCTATAGACGAGCTGGTCAAGATACCGAATGAGCCGCGGTGGTAGCGACGCTCTTACAAAGACAAAACAAAGCCTTCCATCGTTAGCATGTTGCAGCCGACGAAGGTGAAGGTGATGTCAAGATAGTTTGGCGGTATATTGCGACGTTGAATAACGGTCTTCTTTCTTGATAAGCCATCTGAAGTGGAATAATTTCAATGTTTTTAACTTTGAAACATAAGTTAGAGAGGCTCAGCATGTGGAATGTGGGGTAAAATTGTGTACACAGTGCCACACGCAGAGAGTATCTGAACTGCCTCACGAGATCCACGCACCTAGAAGGGAGTATATGGGTTTATGCCTTGTTCCTCTTATACTTTCACCTTTAACTGGCGTTGTTTTACTTGTTTTCGCTTGATAAAATTAAAGTGGGGATGTTCACTAGCAGTTTTTTGACTAGATGTCCACACATGTATGAGACTACACTGCCCAAGATGCAGAACGTTGGGAACCTAAAAGTAAAATAGGTTTATGCACCACGGTACATGCGTTAATTATGCATTCTGAGAACACAATAAGTGCCAAGGGTGTTCTGGTCTAATGTTCACATCCAATCCTTGCACGCATGACTTTGAATTTTACAAAGCGATAACATTAATACCTTTCTCACCCAAAGTTTTCTGTCTGCCTAGGATACATATATTTCAGTCAGACAATTATTCCAAGATCACTCGGAGGATTTGCGTCATCATACACCTCGGAAGCCTGGGTAGGCGGGAATTTCGAAAGCCGTCGTCGCCCTACCCTGCCGGATTTCCATATACATTAACACAATCCCCGCCGCCTGGACAAGGATCTTACACCTTTCATCTCGGTTCCTACTCTAGCGTCGCTCAATCAACCAACTGGAGGACTCTCCCATTCCCTGATTCTTCACGGGGCCTCGCTAAACTAGCACATGCGGGGAAGCGGAGATTCATCGGCTTATCGAATCACTGATCATTCAAGAACCTGGGGTAGACCTAACACTGATTCTCCTTAGTCTTGTCCACATCGCTGATTGTGAGCGGATAATTATCGGGTTTGGCACAATATCACCGGAATTCAGCATGAAATATATAGACATGTGCAGAAGTGCCAAGATATGCCGAGATTTTCAGCCCGGCGGTCTTTTCCGCAATGGGGTTTGGGTCTAGGACCATGATGTTAATGGCTGTTAGGCTTGTTCGTTTATGGAATGCATTCTTAACCGAGCATACAGTGCATAGAGATCCATCTCAAAATCCATATAAAAGGGGACGGTATGTCGCGTTGAGCAGGTCATAACCAGTCTCTAAATCCACTTTGAAAAAGCGAATCTCGGCAATATGAAGACCACGAGTGTTCTGGCATTGGCAGGCTTGCTGACATCAGTCAATGCTCACGGATACTTGACCATCCCTTCAAGTCGTACACGCCTGGGATTTGAGGTATGATCCCGGAGAACAAGTTTATGACATTAGAGTGCTAACCTAACATCGTCAGGCTGGCATTGACACCTGCCCTGAATGCTCTATTCTTGAACCCGTCACTGCGTGGCCTGACGTGGAAGCAGCACAGGTTGGCCGCAGTGGACCATGTGGATACAATGCTCGGGTTAGCGTGGACTACAACCAACCCGGCGATTATTGGGGCAACTCTGTGGTGGCCACGTATACTGCAAACGATATCGTTGAAGTGCAATGGTGTGTTGACAACAATGGAGATCACGGTGGCATGTTTACCTACGGGGTCTGCCAGAATCAAACTTTAGTCGACTTGTTTCTGACCCCAGGATATCTCCCAACGACGGAGGAGAAACAAGCCGCCGAGGACTGCTTCCTGGATGGTGAACTGAAATGTACCGATGTTGATGGACAGAGCTGTGGCTATAATCCTGACTGTACCTCTGATCAGGCATGTTACCGCAATGATTGGTTTACTTGCAATGCATTCAACGCCGACTCCAACCGCGGCTGCCAGGGTGTGGATGGCGCTGCTTTGAACTCCTGCAAGACGACTATTGCCGGCGGCTACACAGTCACGAAGAAAATCAAGATCCCAGACTATAGCTCGGATCACACTTTGCTTCGCTTCAGGTGGAACTCGTTCCAGACCGCTCAGGTGTATCTCCACTGTGCCGACATTGCCATTTCAGGATCCGGTTCTGGATCAACTTCGAGCACTAGTTCTACTACTTCGACTATAGCAACTTCTGCTACCAAGACGAGCACCACTGCTTCCTCGACAACATGCACTGCTGCCACATCGGTCGCAGTAACTTTCAATGAGCTGGTCACTACTACATATGGTGAGGATGTCTATGTCGTCGGTTCAATTAGCCAGCTGGGCTCTTGGTCTACCTCGTCCGCGATCGCTCTTTCTGCAAGCTCGTATACATCATCTAACCCGTTGTGGACTGCCACTATTTCCCTCCCCGTCGGTACCACTTTTGAATACAAGTTCATCAAGAAGGAGTCGGACGGCAGCATTGTCTGGGAGAGTGACCCTAACCGGAGCTATACTGTACCAACTGGCTGCTCAGGCACCACGGCTACTGCAAGTGCAACTTGGCGGTAGAGACTTCACTTGCATTTCTGCTTTAACTGGGGGAAATAGGGGTTCGTCTTGATTTAGTGCATTACAATATGACTTGGTGTATCAGTCTCTAGGGAGGGCAATAAACTCGAGGAATACTCTTAATAACTGGTACTGAAATTATCTCGGAGTATCAAGAAAGGAAAAAGGTGCACCAAAATAAATGAAGGCTGCAGCCTGTTGACAAAACGTAATTCCATCTCAAATGCAAGTCTTAATGTCCCGATTTGAAGCCCCTCTCGTATCTCCTTGAATATGTCTCGGGTGGTGGAGGACCCCACACCGTCCTGGAACAAGGTCTTGATTCACTTGAGTCTTTTGCTGGATGTGGCCGGGCGTACTGCTGAGATGCATGACACAAGTGATCTGCAGAAGATTGAGATCCGTGCGTGGAGTAAAGCGAGCTGACTGTTCTGGAAATGTCTTCGTCGCTGAACCTGACACACTTGATATTACTCCCACCTCCATTTGTATGTGACATGTGCACCGTAGTACGAGCACAGGCACCTGAGACTAGTGGGCTAGCGTGACGGTGTGTGTATTTGGGCGTGTCACTTGAGTATTTTTGGCCATAGCGTTCTATCTGGGGGGAATGAAGGGCACATTTATTGTGGACTCTTGTTTGGGATGTGTAGGAGTCATAGCCTTCGTCTTCGCTCGTGTCCGAAAGATGAGATCGAGGCCGTGCATGGATACATGGATGTGCATGCCGATGACGAGGGCAGCTATCGAGATGTCGAGTACAAGCTGGAGCTTTTGGTCTCGTGTTGTTTCTAAAGATTGATCTTAGTGAGTAATAGAAATTTGTGCGAGAATTATTTTAATAGCATGAAACGAGTTCCTACCCTCGGACGGCTCCTCGACCGTGGCGAGCACAATCAAACGTGTGGACAGTGTGTCTGGTCCCTGCGGCTTCACGCTGTTGGTATTGAAAGGAACCATCGTCTTCGCTACTCAAGTAAGGTATAGTTTGGTGGATGTGACGCGTGTGACGGGGACAGGAGTAATCACTTTGTTGATGCACTGAATCTCTATAATGTGAAGGACATACATGCTGCCCAGCTTGGGCCTGGCGCACACATTTATGGCACATTTCGACTTTATGAGGTTGAGAATATTCCGGCTCAAGGCTGATTGATATATCCTCATGTCAGATCTTTTGGAGTCGGGCTCCCAGAATGGGCGTCCCTCATGACCTTGATGCTTCATTTTCCTCGCACAAGCATTGGCTGACCTGAGACAAACAAGACTTGCATGCAGCACTTTTGATTGCAACTGGGCGGGATACCCGCTTCTTCTCGTGGTCCTCGTACGCATCCGTTTGATACATCTGAAACGAGCGCCAGGATGGCCAGATTCGCGATCTGTATGGTGCCAACAGGATCCGTGTCTTCCCGAATTTCAGAACTCTTTTACCAAAGCTGAGGATCCAGGACCGCACTGGTCGAGATGGTTTCTAAAGAAGCCAAGCCTATCACCCTACACTTCCAGGTACCCAACCCTCATTAAGGAGACATGGATTGAAGAAGTGAAGACCTGCGAGATATTAAAGGAAGACCGCACCCGAACGTCGCGCAGTACGGCTGTGCAGTTATGGAGGACGGCACAACCAGAAACATCTATTTTACGAATTACGACGAGACACTTATGGAACGCGTAAACACCCTCAGATACAACCGATTGGATTCTGCATACGAGAGACGCGGGGCCGATCGAAACCAGGTCGAGCGTTGGGTTAAGGGGATTGAATGGGTATTCGCCATCTAGATGGCTTGGGAATTATGCATAATGATCTCAACAAATACGGGTGGTTATTTCAGTACTGGACATCTCAGAATATATTCCCGCGTGTGTCCCTGTCGCCTCTCACTCCACGGTGAGCATATGACCAGATGATGTGGGAAGCTGCTTGCTGTATGACATCGAAGGAGTGAAACGCTCAACCCATTCCTCCCGAATAGTAAGGAAAGTATCGCAGACTGCCTTGACCGCATCGTCGCGAGAATCCCCACAACTTTCAATGTAGACTATTTTAGATAACGATATTAGCGAACGAGCTCTTCGAATAAAGCCAGGGAAACATACATTTGACCTTCGGCTCTGTACCCGATCCTCGGAATGTGAAGCGTACACCGCCCTCGAGCCACAGAGTCAGCATTTGGCTGGTTGGGTCATCAGGCAAGTCTGGCTTGTTATCGGCAGTGCTAGAGTCATAGCCCTTTGTCAGATCCCTCCACCGCAAAATCTTGAAACGGCCAAACTTCATATCTGCAAGACAATTGCTCCCTCTGATTCCTTGGAATAATGTCGAAGTGAGCTCCGGGTCAGGAGATCGGAAATAGTTGTTCAACGTCTCATGGTGGCCAAATTCCGCAAATAGTTTTTGAAGCTTGGCATACACAGTCAATCCCTGTGATCTCCATTTCGCCTCTGCGGCAAGGAATACTGTGGCTGCTGTAATTCCATCCTTGTCATAGCACACGGATGGGAACATGTATCCCAATGCTTCCTCGTATGCAAATGAAACAGTCTTCCCTTCTTTCTCAAGATCCCGGGCAACATTGGCCATCCACTTGAAACCTGTAAGGGTCTCTTTGAAGTGGATACCCTTTGCAGCTGCCATCTTGGCAAGCATGCCGCTCGAGACCGTTGTGGTCAAGACAGAGATGTGAGACCAATCTTTGTCGGCATCATAGGAATCCAGGATATGAGATGCCAATAGAACACCAACGTGGTTTCCGGTCAATAATTGCCATTTGTCACTGTATTAGACATTAGCGATAGATAATCAACGGCTGCAGGAAGAAGAACTCACTCTACTTTCTCCGCTACGGCAAAGCGGTCCGCATCCGGATCGTTCGCAATGATCAAAGTCCTTCCCTGTTTATCAGCAGTCTCAATAGAAAGGTCCAAGGCACCACTCTCCTCGGGGTTGGGGAACTTCACAGTGGGGAAGTCTGGATCTGGTATCTCTTGGGCTTCAACAGACGCGTGGTTGTCGATTCCAAGTGAGTGGCACAACTCCGGAAGCACCAGACCTCCCACTCCGTGAAGAGGAGTGTAGACAAATGGCTTTGGAGGTTCCCAGTTTGCTACTGTGGATTTCTAAGACATCGTCAGAGTTGCTACACGCATCGATGTTCAAGAACGCACCATGAACTTCCCAACCCGATCCATGTAGTGGGGAAGCAGTTGCTGGTAGGAATCCGAGCGCAAGTATTCGCCGGGCTGCAATGGCTCCCATGCTGTTGGCCAGGGTTCAAGATTGTCTTTGATTGACTGCGCGATTTCCCCGTCTTCGGGTCGATTGATCTGCGCACCGTTGCTCGAGTATCTATGAAGCACAGCCTATTAGCTGCTGTGTGACAATGATAACGGTTTCCCTTCTTACACTTTGTAGCCTATAGAGAGGTTAGCATATTGTTTGCTGTATAGGTGTAAGTAGCTTACCATTATCTTGAGCTGGGTTCTTTAAAAAGCGCTTGAGTCAGTACGTGTATATAGTGGATGTTCGGGTTCACCTACGTGGCTCGCCGTAACCATGATACCCGCAGCAGCATGAAAATGACTCACACCGAACGGTACCAGCGGTGTTGGTGCTTCCTGATCAAAGAGAAAGACAGGAATCTTCTGCGCGATGAAAGCATTGGCGGCGAGTGCGGCAAACTTCTTAGAATTGTGACGTGCATCGTGACCAATGACTACACCATGCGAGGCGATATCAGAACGTTGATCACGGATAAACTTGGCCAGGCCTTGCGAGGCTTGTATGACTATCAAAGAGTTCATGCAAGAGAACCCTGCTGCCATGCGGCCTCGTAGACCTGCTGTGCCGAATTCGATGCCTATACTTGGATCAGACGTGCACTATAACCTCAAATGAACATAGGATGACGCACGGTTGCGCAAGCGCTTTTCCAGCTCTTCAACGGCATTAGAGTCACGTAGCTGCTCTATTTCCGCGCGGGAGGTAGGATCCTATATCCGAGTCAGTAACATCAGGCCACCGGAACACGGATATACGGACCTGGTCCCATTGGAGCCATGTTTGAATGAGTGTTGAGAGTGTATCCTATCAGAGTTAATACAATATTAAGAGACGCCAAAGGATTGCTCACCATCATGCCATATGAGTACGGAGTATGAAGGTCCAGTAATGAAGAAGTGACAAGCACGGGTTGACCGCCGATCGGTCCCCGCTGCACTCCTCCGCTATGTTTCTGCCTTGTTACCTATTAATATCTCCCTTCGCTACTCCCTGCTCTTTGGGCTTCGAACCTTGTCACTCATTTTACTGTTTGGATCTGAACAATGTCATCGTGAAGACGTCACTGTTGTTGACCTTGAACATCCACACCATCGCCGTGTCACACCATGGAGAAACCCCAGCCGTCCCGGAACGACACCGTCTTGACTCGACGTTATATTGAAGGCCTCATTGCAGAGGGAAAACATGTCATTATCTTCGAGGGCCGTGTTTTGAAGGTAGATGCCTGGATCAAGTTCCATCCTGGAGGAGACAAGTCCATCAAACACATGGTGGGCAGGGATGCGACAGATGAGATCAACGCGTACGTCCCTGGATGGATCACAGACTAAGACACATCTAACCTGGGTTTCTTTCACATAGACTACATTCCCAAGAAGCCCGCAACCGTATGCCCTCGTATCAGATCGGTCGAATTGAAGGGATATGGATCAACTTTCTACCCCCAATACAGGGCGGCAAGTACCGTCCCTACACAGAGGAATCATGCTCGACGGAGGAGGATTCAACAAGCCAAGAGAGCTCCTATGGCTCTAGTCACGATGGATCTTTCCCCCCCTCGCCAATTTTCGATGCGGTCGACTCGAAAGCCTCCCCCCGTCAGAGGAAGTCGACCACGGCCACCGACACCGTTTCTTCGACCCGGAACGCTCCGCCCCAGCCAAAGTTTTTGGATGCAAGAACCAGAGAGGAGATTGTCTTCGACACTGCCAAGTATCCTTCGTTGGACACCGCGAGCCAGGAGGAGATCAAACGCAAATACCGTGAGCTGAACGAGCGGATGAAGGCCGAGGGTCTTTACAACTGCAACTACTCTGCGTACTTCATTGAATGTTGTCGATACAGTCTGTTCGCAGGATTATCATATATGTTTCTACGCATGGAATGGTGGGCGGCCTCTGCATTCTTCCTAGGCTGCGTCTGGCACCAGCTTGTTTTCACTGCCCATGATGCTGGCCACATGGGAATTACGCACAATTTCCATGTGGACAGTGTTATTGGAATGATCATCGCGGATTACATCGGTGGCCTAAGTCTCGGGTGGTGGAAACGAAGCCACAACGTGCATCATATCGTGACCAACGAGCCCGAACACGACCCCGATATTGAGCATATTCCGTTCTTTGCCATCTCGCATCGGTTCCTTACCAGCCTTCGGAGCACGTACTACGACCGAGTCATGACCTTTGACGTTCCAGCTCAATTCCTCCTCAAGTTCCAGAACTACCTTTACTACCCTATCATGTCGCTCGCGCGTTTCAATCTCACTGCCCTGAGCTGGGAGTATCTGCTGAAGCGCCAGGCTCCTCGGAAGGGTCCCGCCTGGTGGCATTTCTACTTCGAGCTTGTTGGACAGGTCTTCTTCTGGACCTGGTATGGCTATGGAATTCTGTACAAAACACTTCCCGATACCAGCAGCCGCCTTACCTTCCTTCTCATCTCGAACATCGTTCCCTCCCCCCTGCATGTTCAGATCACATTATCCCACTTCGCCATGTCAACCGCCGATCTAGGAGTCGGTGAGTCCTTCCCGCAGAAGATGCTTCGCACCACTATGGACGTCGACTGCCCAACATGGCTCGATTTCTTCCATGGAGGTCTGCAGTTCCAAGCCATCCACCATCTGTACCCACGCATGCCGCGCCACAACCTGCGTCGCGCCCAGAAGAACGTCCTGGAATTCTGCCGAGACACTGGTATCCCATATGCGATTTTCACATTCTACGATGGAAATAAAGAGGTTATTAGCCGTCTCGGTGATGTCGCAAAGCAGGTCCGCCTCATGGAGGAGTGCCGCAAATCGATTTCCGAGACTGGTGTCTTCTCGGATCATCATTGATTCACTGGTGAATGAAGTATTGTTCCTTGCGGGTCATGCGAACGAGGTTCCTGTGTAAATACATTGTCGCGATAGCCCATACCACAATCTATATGTGTTCTGGTATATTAATGATGAACGAATATTTTACGTTTCAATGCTTCGTAGCTGCTTTGTGATATTTTCATGTTTAGATTACAAGCACAGTCGTCCATCATGGTGAACATAGTCGAGGCACACCTCAACCGGTTACATCCACATGGACTATATCAATGCCTGTTCTTAGCCAGGCATTCCACCCCCACGCGCCATCTTCTTCGCATGCTGTTGTCGACGATTATGATTCGCCCGACTCCCCTTATTAGCCTCTTTTCTTTGCCGCGACGCAGCAGAATCTGGCGGAGCCTGACCCCCGGTCGGAGCAGGCCCACCACCACGCCCACCACGTCCACGACCTCCACGTCCCCTTCCACCTCTTCCACTACCACCTCGACCACGCAAACCAGCCTGACCGGAAGACTCACCCTCGTCAGAGCCCTCATCGCCATCCTCACGAGGTTGCGGCCTCCGATAAGACGTAGAACGCAACTCGGGCTGGTTCAAAGCACCGCCACCACCAGACCCGCTAGCGTCCATAGCCAGCCGGTCCTCGAGTTTGGCAAGCCGCCTGGGATCACGGGTGAGCATAACAGCCCATCCTTCAATAGCCTCATCCGTCATTTCGGTTTCCCGTTTCAGCGACGCACGCGGCTGCGAGCGGCGGGTGGTCGAATCTCGGGCAAACAGGCCGGGGTTGGACTTGTATGTTCGGAAGAGAGTCATGTCGAGATCTGCTGCGCGGCGGGTTTGTACAGCTGCGTCGGCTTCGGCGTCTGTACCGGTCGTCACCGCGTCCACGGTGCCGCCTACATCGGCTGCGTCGTAGGTGTCGTCGCGTTCATCGTCGTCTAAGTCGAATGTTGCTAGTGCGGAGAGGATTGCTGCTTTGTTTGCGGCGTGGTGGCTTCGATCTGCTAGGACTGTGTCGGCGGTTTGGTCTGCGTCGATGCGGCCGAAGTGTAATTTGCCTTTGCCTGCTGCTTCGTCTGAGCGGCTCAATTCGGCGATGTCGACGTCTTTGTCGAAGACGTTCTTTCGGGTTGGGAATGATTCCGGTTGGGGTGATGGCAGGGCGGGTGGCGTTGGTTGTGGTGAGAGATGGCTATGGTGTGGTTCTGCTGTCGGGGCTAGTTGCTCCGATCGATCTAGAGACTGGAGTTCTAGAGGGAGTGAGTCATCGAGGAGGTGTGCGACGATTGTTTCAGGGTTGTCGTTGTAGAAATCTAATAGCCGTACAACGAAGGCCGAGCCAAGATCGGGGAAAAGGTCTTGTACTTGGGTGACAAGGGACATTTTGTGTGCGTGAAGCTCCTCTGGGATGAGGACCCCCGAAGATACATCTTTGCCTTTGTCCAGCTTCTTCCGTCTTTGATACCGATGGTGGAACGATTTGGATTCCACTTGGTAGGCGCGCAAGCTGGAGAGAAGATCCTCTCCCCGTTTCTGGGGGTGATTGGTAAGATACTTCTCTAGCCGAAGAAGCAAGTCCGAGCTGCATACAAGGTCTGATAGCAGTGTCGCCTCTTTTTTAATCTTCGGCGTTCCCACTCGGGCAGCGGCTTTGAGACCGAACAACTGATCCAATAACAATGACATGTTGGCAGATTGTTCCTTCAACAAAGAGATCAATCCAACGTAGATATTCGCAACCAGAATCTTCCGGAACTCTTCTCTAGCACTTTTGGATTGGTAAGCTTCTGATACCGTATCCAGGAAGTCAGAGCCCGCCATAAGCACCTGGCCTGAAGCTGGAAGCACGGAGGCAAGGATAGTTAAGCGGCGGATGTCTGAGATGACTTCAGGATTGGAGAACGAGTTTGCTGAAGAGAGGTTCTTGATGATGATGGCCTTTGCCTTCTCAATGCTGGAGGTGATCTTGTCATGGTGTAGATCCCAGGCATTTGATAATGACGTTTTGAGAACCGTGCTGGAAGGGTAGCAGCAGCATAGGTCGCCGAGGAGTCTCCAGTCCAGTAGTCCATCTGGTGGGTTTGATAGACCAAGCAGGTACCGCCTTGTTGCTAAAAAGCAAAGCTTCCGAAGCTGTCGAGCTTTAGGTCCACTCTTTAGACTAAAGTCCCCCGCTGCGGCGTACTGATAGTAAGAGCCCAGGAATGGGGGCGCGGATGCATCTTGAGCGGCCACGTCTCTGAACTGCTTATCGGAGACATTCAGACGGATGCCCAACAAAATCATCCATGCATCTAGGCAAGCGTCCCAGTCGTTCGATGGGATTGTCCTCCGCACTGCGGGGGAGGGCACCGGAGCCAGCGGGGGAAGCTCCGCCATTGGGGCAAGCTGTGCTTGGTTGACTGAGGGTAGCTAAGGGGGACAAAGGAGAAAAGAACAACAAACAAAAACAAGAACACGCAAACAATCGTCAGCTCATGATTATATCTCGAATGCCTCAAGCTTGGGAGTTGTCCCAAAAGAGCGATGACTCAGCGCTGATTCAGCGACCAGGTCAAGGGCACCCAAAGCGGCTTAGCGTGCGATAGCCGAAGCGCCAAGACTTTCGCACTGAACTTTTCGGTATCGAATTCTCGCTCCACACTGTTTCTGCCAGCCATCATCACCTTACCGAGCCTAGTAGTTCAGGTCTTGACGGCATTCGCCTTTTTAAATTGTACGTGATCTCTTCCTTGAACCTCTCGACTTCACCCGCTAACCCAACCCAGCACCAATCATTCAAGATGTCTTTCCAGAAGCCCGAGAAGGATTTCGGCGAGGGCCCTGTACGTTGTCGCCGACCCTATGATCCAATTGCACACTGTCGTCGTTGTGCGCAGAGTGTGAATGGGCCTCACAAACCTTGATCAAACACTAATCGCCTCTCTCGCCTGCTATACAGAAGGTCCACAAGATCCGTATCACCCTGACCTCCCGCAAGGTTGCCTCCCTCGAGAAGGTCTGCCAGGAGCTCATCGACCGTGCCCGCTCCAAGTCCCTCCAGGTCAAGGGTCCCGTCCGTCTCCCTACCAAGACCCTTCAGATCTCCACCCGCAAGACCCCCAACGGTGAGGGTTCCAAGACCTGGGACAAGTACGAGATGCGCATCCACAAGCGTCTGATTGAGTGAGTTTTAACCGGCTGTCCAAGAGGCAGATCTTATGCACGAAGATACAGTCACTAACATTCAATCTTTACAGCCTCCTCGCCCCCACTGAGACCGTCAAGCAGATCATCATCAACATCGAGGCCGGTGTTGAGGTTGAGGTTACCATTGCCGCTTAAATGATCTAGCCCTGGGCTTGCTTTAGGGAGGGATCATGCATGGTGAATTTGGAGCGTGAATGCGCTACGTTGGACCCGGTGCGAGCCTGCAGGACTTATCTGTTCTATGGGTGGTCCCGTTTGACCTAATATACCAAAAATTAAAAATGGAAACATCTTGAAAAAACAATCTCCCAGTTTTGTAGTCTAGAAACCGTAGTGTATTCGTAGCGTGCTTGAACTAGAAAAGCCCACCTCCCAAACGCCGTTCTTCATGTTTGCGCATACTAGACATGTCGTCCTTTGTTATGCCAATTAACAACCCGTGTACAACTTAACCAAAAAAAAAAAAAAAAAGAATCAGAAAATGCAAGTCGTAGTTCATAAGTCACAAATCGCAATGTTGATATCAAAAATCAAAACTGATCCACTCTCTCTTAGGGGGAACTGATGGAATGGCATCCTTGAAGTACCCGTTGTTGAGGTAGAATTCATATGCCTCGGCAACCTCTGGGGTGTATTCCTCTGGCTTGCCTTGAGAGTCGCGCAGACTTGCTGGATCGGGCGGCCCACTAGGGAAATTGACTCGGACCAACGTCGTGTTGTCTTGCGGGTGCAAATAACAAGGGTGGTCGTTGACGTACTTCACTGGACGGCCCTTCCACATAGTCAGGCGTTTAGATGATGGATCGTGCCTTGTCTCGCCTTGTAGTTCTGGGAGTGGGTTGAGTTGGTTCGGGTCGTCAAGTTTGAGAAACGCTCGAGGGCCAGCGTCAGCATGCTGCACTGGGACGCCTTGTGGTGCGGCGGGCTGGCCGAATGGGTTGGCTGCTGGTTGGGAGGAGGTCCCGAATGGATTGAGTGCGGAGGGTTGTGGTGGGAATCCAGACGTCGGTTGTGGCTGCCCGAATCCACCGGAGGCAGGAGGGAAGGCAGGAGCTGCAGGTTGTTGTGCAGCTGTCTGTGTGAATGGCGAGGGAGCATTCGTAGGAGCAGGCTGTCCGAAGCCCCCTGGGGCGGGTTGATTGTTGGAGATTTGACTAAAGGGTGAGGATGAGGAAGCTGGAGCGCCGAAAGGGTTTGCTGCCGGAGCTGCGGGCTGTCCGAAGCCTGGTTTGCCAAACCCGGATTGTCCTCCCAGGGTCGACGGCTGCCCGAAGCCAGAGCCACCTATGTTGGATGGCTGTCCAAACCCGGATGACTGGCCTAAACTCGGGGTCTGTCCGAAGCCAGACGATTGACCCAGAGTTGAAGGTTGCCCAAAGCCAGATGACTGACCTAGAGTTGAGAGCTGTCCGAAACCAGACGTTTGGCCTAGAGTCGAGGTTTGGCCGAAACCAGAGGATTGACCTAGCGTCGAGGGTTGGCCGAAGCCAGCGGATTGTCCCAGATTCGATGGTTGGCCGAAGCCAGAGGACTGACCCAGAGTTGAGGGCTGCCCGAAACCTGAAGACTGGCCGAGGGTTGAAGGTTGACCGAAACCAGGTGCCTGGCCCAAAGTTGATGGTTGTCCGAATCCCGAGGGAGCACCACCGAGGGTTCCAGGCGCTTGGGTAGCACCGGGTCCTGTCTTGCCCTCAACGATATCGAGCCTGTTAGGATGCTCGTTCTTTCCATCAATAATGAACTTCACGGCGCCATTGAGATCACCCAAGACGACTTCCATCTGTTTGATAGACTCTTGCCAGAGGGCCTGGGATTCCTGGACCGCCTGGTCAATGCTACCCGCAGCTGCCAATTCATAATGGCGCACACGCAATTCTTCCGGACTCTGCTCGCGCCCAGGACCACCGAACAGCTGACGTGGAACATTCTGCTGTGGTGAATAGGAGGAAAGGATCCAGAGTGGACGGTTCTTGCCCGCGGTCAGGTCAAGCTTGATATCAGTTGCGCTGACGCCGAAGCTGTATTCAAGTTAGTCCCAAGTCCCATCAAATATTGCTAAGAGGTTGGCTTACTCGTCTGCATATTTCTTGTTCTGGGATTGGCTTGGCGCAGATGTTCCACCTGTCGTAGATGCTCAGTTAGACAATGGCTTTGGCTTCAAATCAGGACCAAACAGTAATGCATCGACGCGGTGAAAGGCTAAGTGAAGAGGGCCTTGTCTGGACATTGGTGTTGATACAAGTATAATGGGTAGAGAGCAATAGAAGGAAAGAGAGAGATAAGACGAGCAAAGAGCAAACAGATAGTCTTAGTCTGTAGGCATGCATTGCCTGCATAGTTCGAGGTGAAATGGCTGCCATAATAACGCGAGATATACTCACCAAACCCAGAGAGAGCTCCGAATCTATTCCCGGAAGGACCAGCTGTGCTTCGGCCAGGATGCTCGAATTTGCACTTGTCTGATATCGTAATGTTAGCGACTCAATTTTGATTTGGCTTAGATGTTACATACCCCCAAATCTGCAGCGCCCCTGCTGGAAAAACGTGCAGACGGTCATCTTCGGTCTCGATTGGCTGGTTAGCTCCCTTGGGGGCGAAAGGCAGAACCAGGAGACGAAAGAACACGATAGTGTCACGTAAGAAGATGCAAATGAAGGTGCTTGCAATGAATAAGAAAGGAAGAGAGGAACTAGGATAAAGGATGAATAGAATAGGTTGCGGTAGCGCGTTAGGAGTGGAAAACGGCGTGGTTTGGGACTTTTCACAGCATCCGGTATCTTATCGCTGTCACCGCGCAGGGCTCGAGGAAGTATGTCCTGCTGGTAATTTTTTTGTATTTCAACTGATCCGAGAGTCAGATTTAATTCACTCACTCCTGATTTGTCTTTCTGGTAATTTGTGGGCTTCTTGCAAATGCTAATGAGTACAAGTGCTGTGAGAAACTGGTGAGTGCCGAATATATATCAGGAATCCACTTTACACTAACGCCTCGGCAATATCAATTACAATTGGGAACATCATTTGTCAAAACCGTAAACTCCTTTTGCTATTTCAATTCTAACCAAACATTCATCCCAGTGATGCTGCACTGGTTGGGTATATCATCTACATGTGTCTTATGCTCCCTCGAAGGTTATCCCAGTTCAAACCATCCACTTTCTTGCCACTCAAGGATTCAAGCTCGGGGGAGATATCGGAAACTCGTCCGGTTGCAAGACGCCGCATCATGACGGTATCCTTGGCCCCAGGAAGTGTGCTGGCATTGCCATGTAGCAATACTGATTCGAACCACACTTCCTCATCCTCATCCAGTGGCAGTCCGACGAGTTCCATTGCGCGCCGGCTTCTGGTCTGGCCGGGGCTGGCCTTGTGAACAAACTCCACCAACTGCTCAAAGAAGCTCTGACGGTGAGCGTCATCGTACTTGCGTGTGAAATAAAACGCCTCGGTGACGTTGGATCGGCTGAGAGTTTCGAAGAAAGCTTTGCGAACCTTTTCGCTTGCGAGAGGAGGAGCCACAGTGAGGTAGTATGCGATTGCGAGGCTGTCGTCGTGCCGGGGAAGCTTGGTGAGAGTCAGGGCGTAGAGGATTTCATCCGGGAAGGTAGGAATGAGCGATGGTTCGGTGAGGTACTCAAGTGCTCGCTAGTAGAGTCAGTAATTGCCGGAAGGTAATGGCTTTGAAGATCCGTGCAAGCTCACCCGGAAATCAAGTCGATCAAGGTGCCAAAGGCCCTCGATGAAGAGACGGTATTTCTCCGGTAGGTGGCATCGTTGCGCAAACTGAATCGAAGCTTCTGGAGCAGCGCGACAGTCTTTGAGGATATAGTACACTAGAGATTGTTTGTGTTCGATATCCAGTTCCGAGGAAACGATGTGATTGAAAAGTTCTCGAAGATCTGTATTGCTCTTAGGCGGGTAGACCTTGGTCACTAGAAGGGAGCAAATCATTAGCCTAAATCTTCCAGCTGAAGCTTCAAATCATACCTCCCTGGATACCGAGCAGTCTTAGCAGTCGGTCGGCGAAGAGCTGGTTCTCGAAAGCACGCCGATTGGCAAGGATCTGTTCAACGACCTTAGGCTCATAAGTGTATTTCTTGTTGAACGAGAACACATAGTCAAAGTTCTCCCAGGGCGCCATGGTGATGCAGAGAGAAGAAAGTTGTGAGTGTCGCAAGTTCAAGTTGGAAGCTCCGCGGAGAGGTAATTACCGTACGGTAACTTACGGCGGGATATGGCGGTAAAGGGCTTGTTGTGGCAGAACGACGGCCGCCTTTCCTCTTTGGGCGCAAGGTAAACAACCCACTTTCGTCGGACGAAACACTCCGTCCCCTCCATGCAATCACCTTAATCCATCATGGCTGCAGTCGCTAAGGGCAGGTCATCGCGCCGGTCTGCTCCCCGTCGGAGCTATGTTGTCGAAGATACCTCTGAATCCGAAGACCCCGGAAATGTGACACCCACACCCGATACGCATGATGACGAAGAAGCTGAGGAGGAGGATTACACCCCCGTCCCCAAGAGGGCAAAGAGAACCTCCAAGAGTCTGATGACCCTAGAACCGAAGACACCTTCCACCGCACGGCCTGCCAGTAAAATCCAAGAAGCGATAACGGATGATTCCGATGCGTCGCACGCAATGGACACCGAAGAGGACGAAACGAATGATGAAAACGATGAAAATGATGAGAACGATGAGGGTGTTAGTATCGCGTCAATTGAAGCCGATCCTGAATCCCCGTCTAGAAATGCGGCGTTGAAAAGAAAAAGTATGGCTCATCCCCGCAAGAGTCGCGGCTCAATCACACCCAAGCCGGCCAAGGGCTCACTCCCTACTCCAGAGCCGTCCAAATCGCCAGAGCCTCAGGCGCGAGCACGCGCAAGTGTGCCGCCTCTGTCCGACATCACCGAATCCGCCGTGAATCAATCGCCCTCGAAAGAATCGGAAGAACCCAAGTCTCAGATTTCCATCATAAACCCGAACTCGACAGTCTTGGAGAAGCCTATGGATATCGTGGCGAAGTCAAGGACGCAAATTCCTACGGCCCCTGAGGAATCTGCGGCACCCAAGCCCCGAATGATCATTGAAAATCTTATTCTGACAAACTTCAAGAGTTACGCGGGCAAGCAAATTGTCGGACCGTTCCACGCCTCCTTCTCGTCCGTCGTCGGACCCAATGGCTCTGGAAAATCTAACGTTATTGACTCGCTACTCTTCGTATTTGGTTTCCGTGCCAGCAAGATGCGACAGGGCAAAATCTCTGCTCTGATTCACAACTCTGCTCAGTATCCAGACCTCGCCTATTGCGAGGTCGAGGTCCATTTCGCACAAGTCCTCGATTTGCCCGAAGGTGGATCTGAAGTAGTCCCAGATTCCCAACTGATCGTTTCTCGACGCGCGTTCAAGAACAACACCAGCAAATACTACATGAACAAGAAGGAGACCAACTTTGCAACTGTTGGCGCCTTCCTTCGCGATCGTGGAATCGACCTCGACCACAAGCGTTTCTTGATTCTGCAAGGTGAGGTCGAGTCCATTGCTCAGATGAAACCAAAAGCCGCCAATGAACACGACGAAGGTTTGTTGGAATACTTGGAGGACATTATCGGAACCTCGAAGTATAAGACACCCATCGACGAAGCTGCGACCGAGCTCGAAACCTTGAACGATGTCTGCGTGGAGAAGAACAACCGTGTGCAGCATGTGGAGAAGGAGAAGACCGCCTTGGTGGATAAGAAAGACAAGGCTCTGGCTTACATTCGCGAGGAGAATGAATTGGCTCAGAAGCAATCCGCTCTTTACCAGATCTACATTGATGAGTGCGCTGACAATGTCCGCGTTACGGAAGAAGCCATCCTCCAGATGCAGGAGTTGTTGAACATGGAACTCGAGAAGCACGAGGGAAATGAATCCGGCATCAAAGAGATCGAAAAGGCCTACAAGAAGGGTGTTCGCCAGTACGAATCTATGGAGAAGGAGACTCAAGCCTTGCTCAAGGAGATGGCCAAATACGACAAGGAGTCAGTCAAGTTCGAAGAAAAGAAGAAGTTCTTACTTGGCAAGCAGAAGAAGCTGGAAAAGGCGATGCACACCAGCCGACTCGCTGCTTCAGAATGCCAGAGTCTGGTCCAGAAGTTCACCGACGACATCGAGAAGAAGACTGCCGAGACAACTCAGTTTGAGAAGGAAATGTTGACGGAAGAGAAGGAACTGAACACCATTCGCGAGGGCCTCAAAGGCAAGACCCAGGGCCTCTCCGATCAGATTGCCGCCAAGCAGAAGTCTCTCGAGCCGTGGAACGAGAAAATCAACCAAAAGCAATCCGCAGTTGCAGTCGCCCAAAGTGAACTTGATATCTTACGCGAGCGTAGTAACGCTGGTACTGTCCTTCTTGAGGAGGCACAGGCCAAGGTTGTTACGATCGAGGAAAGTCTGCAGTCCAAACAAAACGACCTCGAAGAGCGACAGGCCCAAAAAGAGACCTTGGAGTATGAAGTCGAAAAGTTCAAACATGATCTTCAGAAATACGCAGGCCGTGAACCTGAGGTTCGCTCACATGTCTCAAGCGCCCGTCAAAAGGCCGAAGATGCCCGCGCCAGCCTGGCAAGTACCCAGAACAGTGGAAGTGTCTTGACTGGCTTGATGCGACTGAAAGAGTCCGGTCGTATTGATGGATTCCACGGCAGACTTGGTAACCTGGGTACCATTGACGAGAAGTACGATATCGCAATCTCCACCGCTTGTCCTGCTCTCAACAATATGGTGGTGGAAACTGTCGAAGTCGGCCAACAGTGTATCGACTACCTGCGAAAAAACAACCTCGGCCGAGCAAACTTCATTCTTCTTGACCGTCTTCCCCGCCGTGATATGTCCACTATCTACACTCCCGAAAGTGTTCCCCGTCTCTTCGATCTCGTCAAGCCCAAGGATGAAATGTTTGCACCTGCTTTCTACAGTGTGATGCAAAACACCCTGGTTGCCAAGGACTTAGAGCAAGCCAACCGTATCGCCTACGGTGCTCGCCGGTGGCGAGTGGTGACGCTTGACGGACAGTTGATCGATGTGTCAGGAACAATGAGTGGTGGTGGAACCCGCGTTGCCCGGGGTGGTATGTCGTCGAAACAGGTCGCAGATGTCACAAAGGATCAAATGTCTCGTCTGGAGACAGATCTCGAAGATCTCGAAAGGAAGTTCCAGGCCTTTCAAGAGAAGCAGCGAAACGTTGAAGCTCAGATGCGGGAAAGGCTGGAGGAAATCCCGCGCGTGGAGACCAAGATCCAAAAGATCATGATCGAGATCGAGAGTACCAAGCGTAGTCTCATTGATGCTCAGCGACGCGTGAAGGAACTTGGCGCACAGCACCAGCCATCCGACTCTGATGAAGGCCAAGTCGCTGCACTCGAGAAACAGATCGCCAAGACCGAGAAGGAGATCGAGAAGCTCAACGACGAGAAGAGTGGTATTGAGGAGGAGATTTCCACTCTTCAAAGCAAAATCATGGAGGTTGGTGGTGTTCGGCTTCGTGGCCAAAAGGCCAAGGTCGACGGCCTCAAGGAGCAAATCGGCTTGCTCGCTGAAGAGATCTCTAATGCCGAGGTGCAACAATCCAAGAACGAAAAGCTTATCAAGAAGCATTCGAAGTCTCGCGACGACTCGGAGAAGGAAATTGGACAAATCACCGAAGACCTGGAGAAGCTGGAAGAAGATGTCTCCAACAAAGATAACGATGCTTCCGAGTGGAGACAGAAGGCCGAGGAGGCTCAGGAGGTAGGCTTTTACACATTCGGGAAGGTACTGGATTTGCAGCTGACCATTCTTAGGCATTGGAAACGAAGAAGGGCGAGCTTCAGACCATGAAAGAGGAACTCGACACAAAGGTCGCTGAGCTTAATGAGACACGAGCCACCGAGATTGAGATGCGCAACAAGCTGGACGAGAACCAGAAGGCTTTGGCTGAGAACCAGAAGCGCAGTCGCTACTGGGAAGAGAAGCTTTCAAAGCTGACCGTCCAGAACATCAGCGACATTGGTGAAGAGCAGGAGCCTACAGAGCTCCAGATGTACACCAAGGATGAACTCGAATCCATGAACAAGGAGTCACTGAAGGCCATCATTGCTGCTCTGGAGGAGAAGGTCCAGAACGCATCTGTCGATTTGTCAGTCATCGAAGAATACCGTCGCCGTGCTGCTGAGCACGAATCGCGTTCAGCGGATCTGAACACTGCACTGGCATCCCGCGATGGTGCGAAGGCTCGCTTGGACGGACTTCGATCTTCCCGCCTGAATGGATTCATGGAAGGATTCGGTATTATTTCTTTGCGCCTCAAGGAAATGTACCAAATGATCACCATGGGTGGTAACGCCGAGTTGGAGCTGGTGGACTCATTGGATCCCTTCTCGGAAGGCATTCTGTTCTCAGTCATGCCTCCCAAGAAGAGCTGGAAGAACATTGGAAATTTGTCTGGTGGAGAAAAGACTCTGTCCAGTTTGGCGCTGGTCTTCGCTCTGCACCACTACAAACCTACTCCGCTCTATGTCATGGACGAGATTGATGCCGCCCTGGACTTCCGAAACGTGAGTTACTTCCTATGAGTTGTCCTCAAACTATATGCTGACCGCCCTCTAGGTTTCTATTGTCGCCTCTTACATCAAGGAGCGGACAAAGAACGCACAGTTCATTGTCATTTCATTGCGAAACAACATGGTAGGTTACGCCCTCTCCGCACTAAAGTGAACTAGACTGACATGCTTTTTAGTTCGAACTTGCTGCCCGACTTGTCGGTGTTTATAAGGTCAACCACATGACCAAGAGCGTGACAATCGAGAACCGGGATTATATCACGGGTCGGTAATGACTGAGGATGATATGCATTGTTGTCGTTCTTGATTTTCGCCACTTGTCTGGATGCACAGTGTTGTCTGCTGTTTTTGATGATATCATGGGTCCGGAGTACAGGGATTTTTGGATATTATTTTCTCTTACAATCATGCTCGCGCACTTTAGAAATGTGTGCTTTAATAGCATCCTTGTTCCTTCAATTGTATAGCCAACAACAATGCCAGGGGTGATTTAGCCTAAACCCGACATAGGTCGCTCTTCTCCGCATGGATCGCCGTCTAAGCTTCCACTTGTTTATATGGCACCACGACTCTCGGGTCTTCAGTCCCCGAACAAGCTCTAGACTACCCCGATATGCCGTCCAATGTAACATCTCCCCATACTCTTTGCCGATCAACTATGTCATCGCACGCATCGACCCCGGGCACAGTTGCTTGTCACCGCTGCTCATAGTACTAGTACATAGATGCGGGGTATACAATTGACTATGAATTTCATTAGCAATCCGCTCAATCGAACACAGTTCCCACAGACCTGGAATGCCAGGGTTACACCGCAGATCTTCACCCTCGCGCTGGAATGTATAAAAGCACGCAAAGTGTAGCTTTCCCTTTCCACCCACCAAAACCCAGACAGGAAAATAAACCCTAACCCCTGACCTCTCATTACAAACGTAAAATGCGCCTCCGGTTTATGCTCCCGTCCACCGGTATCGCAGGACTCCTACTTCTACACCCCAACCCCACAACAGCCACCCAAACAGACCTCTCCCAGTATGTGAACGCCCTAATGGGCTCCGAAGGCCCGGAGCCAGGCACAGGATTTGGCGGAGGTGATATCTTCGTGGGTGGTGCGCTGCCGTTTGGCGTGGCTAAAGTCGGGATTGACTCTACTGCCGCGAACTGGAGTACTGCTGTTCTTAATGGTGGTTGGACGCCCGATGGGAATGTTACTGGTATTAGTATGATGCATGAGAGCGGTACTGGCGGGTCACCTAAGTATGGCTTGATCTCACAGATGCCTTTGACTTCTGTTGATACGCCTGTTAATGTGCTTGATAATTTGACTTATAGCCAGCCGAGGGTATGTGACTTTGTGTTGGCCTATTGAGATGCGTCGTGGGATGAAAAAGCTGACTTTAGTTTCAGGTTGGCAGCGATACTGCTAAGGTTGGCTACTACAAGACAAATTTGCAGAATGGAATCACTGTGGAGCTTTCTGCATCTCGGCATGCTGGCATTATGGAGTACTCGTTCCCGGAGGGCGAGAAGCATGTGTTGATTGATGTATCTCATGTACGATATCTGAATTGTCGTATCAGAAAAACTTCGAACTAACAATCCGACTAGTATCTACCTGGCTCTCCTGGCGATGCAAACGGCCAAATTTTCGCAGGAGGCGAGATCCAGATTGAAGCCAATGGCAAAGCATATAGTGGCTATGGAACGTATGCTGGAGGATGGAACAATGGTAATCCCTAAAACCAAGCTCACAAAAACGACATCTAACAAGACAACAGGAGCTCCGTTTACTGTCTACTTCTATGGGGAATTCTCTACTCCTCCAGACAAGTCGCAGACATTCTCTGGCGTAAACACAGATCCCATGCCCCGATACCAGAATCTGGCCAACGGCGGTATAAGCGAACCAACATTCAAAAACACATCCAAAAAAGTAACGTCTGGACCAATGAACAACCGCATTGGTTTGCTACTCAGCTGGAATGATGGACCTGCTTCGCATATTACCTCGCGGGTTGGTATCTCATCTATCTCCACCGACCGTGCCCGTTCCTACATTCAAAAAGAGATCCCATCATGGAAATTGAATGACACCGTTGCTTCTGCGGTCAAGGAATGGAACACAGATGTTTTCAACAAGATCCAGGTTCCGCTCGACGACTCTGCCAACATGACCCATGTTAGGCTGCTGTACAGCTCGTTGTATTTTATCCATCTGATGCCATCGGACCGAACTGGAGAGAATCCCCTGTGGGACTCTGAAGAGCCTTATTGGGACGACTTCTATACAATGTGTGAGTGAATCTATTATGGTATCCCCACCGTATAATTTACTAACCATTTCCGCAGGGGACATTTTCCGCTGCACAGTCAGCTTCTATCACATCTTCCAGCCGGAGTACTACGAGTCCATGATTCGAGGATTGATTGATATTTGGAAGTAAGTGACAACAAACCTTTAGTTAAAAAGACCTAGACTAACAGTTCCAAACCACAGACACGCAGGATTCCTCCCAGACGGCCGCTCCGGAAACTGGAACGGACTTGTCCAAGGAGGTTCCGACGCAGACAACGTGCTAGCCGATGCATACGTCAAAGGCATGCGAGGCGCAATCAACTGGACTGAAGGTTATGCAGCCATGAAAAAGGACGCAGAAGTCACGCCCTACAACACCTTCGACCCAACAGATATGACAGCAAGCACAAAAGAAGGCCGTGGTGCTTTGGATGACTGGAAGGAATTGGGGTATGTATCGCAGGACAGGAACACGCGGTGTATCTCGCGCACAGTTGAATATAGTTTGAATGATTTTGCAGTCAGCCAGGTTGCTGCTGGGGAAATGCCCGGTGACCAGGAGAAGTATCTTAATCGATCGGCTGGGTGGCAGAATATTTGGAATCCGGATGTGAGGAGTTTGGATTTCACAGGGTTTATGGCGCCGCGCTTCTCGAATGGGTCGTTTAATGATAGTGGGTATGATCCGTTGGTGTGCTATGGGTGTGAATGGCAGGATTATACGTATGAGGCGATTCCGTGGGGTGAGTTAATCGTCTTTTTGGTATTTACTAGAGCTGACTTTTGGGCTTGCAGAATACTCGTTTGTAATTCCCCATGACGTGAAAACCCTCATTGAGTTCATGGGAGGGGAGAAGACATTCGAGTCTCGACTTGATTTGATGGTAAGCACGGGAGTCTCTGAGACCGCATACAATTACTGACAATATCTATAGTTCAAACCAAACATGTCTGTTCAAAACCTCGGCGCAAACGGTGCAGCCATAACCACGCTGATCAACATTGGGTATGTAGCGTAAAAGTATTCTTATAGTAAGGACCGAAAGAACTAATTGCAACATAGCAACGAGCCCGATTTTGCCACGCCATATCTGTACAACTACATCAACAAGCAAGCCAAGAGTGTGAATCAATCACGCAGTCTAGCCAATCAATAGTAAGTATACCAATGTTCCGTCCAATTCGAGCCCGCTGACGATTCTCCGGAACAGTTTCAAGGATACAGCCTACGGAATCCCCGGAAACAGCGACGCTGGCGCAATGAACTCCTGGCTCTTATGGCAGATGTTGGGTATCTACCCAATCGTCACGCAGCCTGTCTATCTACTCTCATCGCCCTGGTTCCCTGATCTTAATATGACAATTAACGGAAATAAGACGCTCCGAATCTCTGCTAGTGGTCTTGAGAACGGGTATTATGTGCAGAGCGTTAAGATCAACGGTAAGCAGTGGGGGAAAAATTGGTTCGAACACGATGATGTTATGACGAATGGTGGCACGATCGAGTTTGATCTTGGGGCGGATGCGAAGGCGTGGGAAACTGGGGATGTGCCGCCTTCTCCGGGACATGTGCAGTTGAACAAGGAGTAGGGGCGTTCAATCCGCAGAAGACGTTGAATGATCGCCATTGACCAAGTCTGCCTAGGATGAAATATATTATCTACAATCAAGAGCAGCATTCAAAGTATATTTCATTGTTCTCTTGATTCCAGTTCTAGGCGTTTCTCCACAACAGGATTTTAATCGACCTTTACACTTCTTCCCCGCATCCAACCCACTAGACAAGCCTTTCTTTGTGGCATGCATACATGTACAGTAGCGAGGTACTGTAGGTAGTGCACGCAAGTGAGTTCGTCCTAGGATTCATAGGATTCACAGGATTCCCAGTCTACTCCATAACCGAGGCCAAACCAGACTCAGGATGACCCATGTAGCAACACAATTGCAAGAAATCTGACCAGTAAGCCGCTCCAGCAGCCAATCGGCTGCCCTGCTCAATCAAACAAGAAATTCCAAGTTTGAAAAAGCGAAGATCGCACCGCTTCCAGAGCGCCAAGGCCGACGTCCGCTTGACGTCAGAAGCGGGATGGGAGGTTGGGGTTCTGATAGATTGCGCGTTAACTTAGGGCTATAAGATGTGAGGCTCGAGGGGGTTTTCCCCCCTCTTCCCTTTTCCTCATTGTGTGGGTGATTCTTTTCAATCACTTTATATACACACATTGCCCACGTTTGGTGTGGCGAGCTCCAGTCCGCTGCAGACCCACCTGTTCTGCATACCATTACCAGCCACCAGGCCAGGAACAGTTTGGAATTCTCCGAGATCAGACGAGATCAGACCAGAGTGTAGACTGCAGTCATGGTAAGCAGATTCACATATTCACATACATCCATTGATATGTACATCTCAACCCAATCCGTGGCTCCTGTGCCCAGCCCGAACAAGAACCACGGATCAAGCCTCGAATTGTCCAACAGCTAACCCAATCTAAATCCAGGCTCCTATCAATTCCATTTTACCGAGACAATCAAGCGGCGCCAACTGCCCAAGTACTATAACCAGCGGGGGAATAGCAGGCATTGTCATCGGCTCGATCGCAGGCACGCTCCTGCTCCTCTGGCTGTGGCGTGCATGCAACCTGCCGGGTGCATGGAGCGGTGGCGACGAGCCGGACGTCGGATACCGACCGCCCATTACCCGCAGTAGTGCGAGCAGTCGTGGTCGGAGAACGCGCCGTCGTGGTCCGGGAACTTATGTTGACTATGTTGAGAAGCCGACGAGTACGCGGCGGTATCGGGATCGTGATGATTTGCGTCGGCCGGCTAAGGTTTATTTGACTGATCCTTGAATCAGTGGATGGGGTTGCGGGGGATGTTTCTTTTTTTTTTTTTTTTTTCTTTTTCTTTTTTTGATCATCTTGGATTGAGATTGGGCGGAGGGGTCTTGAACTTTTGACTGATCAATTGGCGCAGGTGATTCTGCCTATTTTTATTGCTTTTGATCTCGGAGATATGAGTATGAATATGGTATGGGGTGGGCTGTGGATGGATCAGGTTCAGGCTTGGAGCCTGGGTTATGAGACATGATATGAGTGACGCTTTGTGATATGAAGCTTGATGACTGATGATTATGAAGCTTGGGATGAATTCCAAGATTGCCGACCGGTGCTTTGTTTCTTTAATTGTCTGATTGTGATTTGGGCGAGTTTCCCTCTGTTGCGATCTGAATGCATGTTTAGAAACTTGTTATGACCTTTCACGTTGAAGCACGTTGTATACATTTGGTTGCCTATCGAATATGTGTAGGACAGCGGGAAATGAGCGGGCCTGCCCAGGTGTATAGTGTACTTGGCATGGTCAAGCTAGACCAAACCGTGTAATCACCGAAACAGTGGCGTTCGATCGATCACCAAGTTGACCCCTGATTACAGTCGAGTTCACCCAACGGCTCTGAAAAGAACGCCGCAGCCGTCACCGCACTGTTATCGGCGAATAAGGGGTCATGATCTTGACTAGCAATTGGAGTTAGCCTCGTGTGATGGGCGACGGTCCCACCCGACAGGGAAAGGAAAAGAAAACTCGGGTTAGACATCTCCACTGGGGAGACAGGGCTTGGCTTATAGATGAGGTTTTTATTGGTCCCGACAGGCGGATACTCATCAAAGTCGGTTCAAGAACAGGTCTGAGGAACCGAACAGAAATAGATTGACAAAATCCTTGAGTTTTCAAGGGGCATGTGCATGAGTAAGTCAAATGGGATCTTCATTGCAGATGATTTTCCTCAACTGGTCTAGACCGGAACTTTCCGCTAGTGGAATCAGGGTAGTTAATTTACTTTCTTCGGCGATAGCACATCCTTCAATGTAAGAAAAACATCTCGGATAATGTACTGTTAAGCATAGATAATGTATGAACTAGAAAGTACGAAGTATACAAACACCCTATGTAGCTTTAATTACCCCTGCGGGACCTTATCGTCCTCAGTTGCCCAACCAATCAGGGACGTTATCACCCCAAAGTAGACTAGTCTCAGGCACGGGGCCCTGGGGGTTTACCCGATGGAGTTAGTCACTACACTAAAATGGAGCACCCTAACCATATCCAGTTAGCCTAGACCTGCCCATAATCTCTGCAGCGTAAGGAGAAACACAAAAATAATACAACGCCTAAAACACCGCTAGCCTATAAGCCCACTTAGCCTTCCCCTTTCTCTTCTTCCATGTACTGACTGCTGGCCTTCTCGTGCAATCGGCACATCCACTCTTTACTATCGAGCTTCGTTCTCGAGTCCATTCTCTTGAATAGTCATTCTTTTAGACCAGCAGCAGATCTGATCACATTCATTTAGATATCATGTGGTACTCTCTTGCTCTATTGGCCCTGGCCAGCTATGCCACCGCCCAAACGTCAACCGACTGCAACCCGTTGAACGTAACATGTCCCGCGGACCCAGCTCTAGGAACAGAACACACATGGCACTTCAACACCACCCTAGACGAAACCATCTGGAACATGACCACCGGAACCTACGATTACGGTGATGACGGTGCCGAGTTCACCCTTACCGAAGAGGGCTCCTCCACCCTCCTACAATCCAACTTCTATATCTTCTTCGGTGTCGTGGAATCGCACGTCAAGATGGCCAAGGGCGGCGGTCTGGTCAGCAGTGTGGTCCTGGAATCGGACGACCTAGACGAGATCGATTGGGAGTGGGTTGGATACAACACCAGCCAGGTGCAGTCCAACTTCTTCGGAAAGGGCAACGATAGCTCATTCGACCGCGGCGGCTTCCACTACGTCGCAAATGCAGACTCCGAGTTCCACAACTACACTACCTATTGGGACCAAGATAAGCTCCAGTGGTGGATCGACGGCGATATGGTCCGTCAGCTTAACTACGATGATAAAGGTACCCTTGGCGGAAAGAACTACCCGCAGACACCCAGCCGTGTCAAGTTTAGTCTGTGGCCTGCTGGTCGGGAGGGTGCTGCACAGGGTACAATCGATTGGGCTGGTGGTCTGGTTCAGTGGAACAATGCTCCTTTCACCATGACCCTTGGAAAGCTCCATGTGAAGGATTTCCACACTGGAAAGGAGTACACTTACTCAGACCACTCAGGTTCCTACGACAGTATCGACGTCGTTGGGTAAGTTCGAGATGGATACAAGTCATTATAATATAGCTAACTCTACGTCCAGTGGAAACTCTACCGCTCTCACAGAACTCAACAAACCCCCGGCCAAGTCCCTGGCCGAAAAATGGGACGACCTGGGCCAAGGAGCCCACATCGGAATCTACTGTGGCGCAGCCGGAGCGGGTGTACTTGCCATCGCAGCCTTCCTCATCTTCTGCCTGCGCCAGCGCCGCAAGGGCCGTCTCGAACACGCCCTTGATGACAGCCGCTACGCCGAAAACCGCACCGAGATGCAGAACTTCCAAAACGACTGGAAGCAGAGCGAGTGGAAGCACGGTGGCTACCAGCAGGTCAACAACTAGCCTTGAAAGTTGTATTCCACGAACCTGCATCCCTTGTTTTCCCTCTATAATGAATTGTTCTGTGATTGGTTTCCGCTCCGTTGCACAGTATGTCCGGTCATTCAGCTGTCGCCATGCCACTCGGCGGGCCTCTGTGGTGACCAACGGAGTCGGAATAATGACCATTTTCTCTCATTTCAGGCTTCCTATCGCTTGCCTCATCTCTCTTTCTCTCTCTCACACACTGCCTTTGCACTGCACTGCAGACCCTCTTCGTTCCGCCTGCGCCTCCGTTTCTTTTGATATCCCACTTTTTGGCCTTGGTCGAAGATTCCCTTCGTTGGCGTTGTTTAGATCGCCCGATGCTGTGCCGTTTGCAAGCTCATATACATGTACATACTTTAACATATAAAACTGGTTTTATTTCAATTGTTGGGGTGTGTTATTCCAGTGTGGTTGTATTCCTTGCGGGCCTTGCCAGGTCGGGGCGATGAGTATCCGACATCCTTTAACAGCCAAAGAATGACCGTTCACTGACTCTTCCAGCACAGCCACCTTAATGCGATTTGATCAAAAAGGGATGGTTGCCTATCCTCATGCAGCTTGTGCTAAGATTAGCGTATCACAACTTTCAGAGACATATTCAGGGTGGCTATCCATGCAGTATGACCTCATCTGGAGAATTTGACACGAGTCCCTCCTTATGTATGGACGATATGGTCGGAGTTGGCCAGATTTGTGTACAGCTCCGTGGCTGATGGTTTCGGAGCTCCTGATCCTTATAGCACTGTGTGAGCAAGATGTGAGCATTGTGTTCATTATCTATGCCGAATCTCCGCTCATAAGTTCGGGATTCACGTCAAATCCGACCGACACTTTCGCTTCACTTGACTGCCAAGTTTAGCTCTCGGCGCGATTAATATACGACAACGATGATTGGCCTTCGGACACGCCTAACCCACGGTGGAACTGTTTCCAGAACAATGTGAAACACGGGATTTATTTGACGTTGTGACATCAAGTGGGATGCCGAGGTTGGATTATAACTCTAGGTGGAACCTTATAAGAAAACACTCTCCCTCCTCGATTTGCCTCTCACCAACATCACCTTTGGGCT